TGCTTAAAGCAGCCCCTCTAGTCCTAGGTCCTTTAGGAATTTTAGGATGTCTAGCGGTTTCAGGGCTGGAATGTCTTCCAGTTGTATAAGGGGGACTTCCCAGGTTCTTCATTCTTGCGCGGCTTACGGCATCGCAGTTCAGTAGAAGATGGTGAGGTGTTTCTTCGCCGTCTTCACAGAATCTGCAAGTGTTACCTTCTTCCAACCCCAGATTATGTAGGTGCTTATTCAGTCTGCAATGTCCCGAGAGAAACCCGGTTAGAGTTTTGAGACTTCTCTTGCTAAGCTTGACCAGCAGTTCAGATCTTTTTTGGTTGTAGCTACCCAGTAGATCTTTGCCCTGTCGTAGTCCTGGTTGGTCTAGCCATTGTTTGTTCCTTAGCCAGTTCTCTTCCTTTTTGAGGATTTCTTGGAGGTGCGCATTTCCGACGTCGCAGATTGGTTCTGGCCCAGTGAAAGGAGTGACCGCTCCCGTTTTTGCAAGTTCGTCTATGCATTCATTGCCCTCGACTCCTATGTGTCCAGGAACCCAGAGTAGGGCTACTTTGTTTTCCTTCCCCAGCTCATTGAGTTTCGGTAGACATTCCCATACTATCATTTCATCAAGGCCCAATCAAGGCCTTTATTATAGACCGGTGCATAACGACCATTTTTTTAAAACGATTTTCTCCCGTCTGTCATTAAGGGTGGTTATTCTTCATGCAATAAAAAGTGGAATGGCTGAAATTTTGGTGAGCCCCGCGTGTGACAACACAATGATATGCTAATTTGAAAATGTAATGAAAAGTAGAGATTTGGATCAATATTATCCCGTCTGCCACACATTGTGAAGGTAATTCAAATAAAAATGAGTACAAGGAAGCTAAACGGCGGAAACCCTAGGTTAGTATTAAGTGTCATATTACTAATTTCAAAATGTCGCCAAAATTGGACATGTGGATCAACGAACTCCCGTCTGCCAAATAATAAATAATAATATTTAAAAATTTTTGAAGTTGCATCAAAATGCTGAGATGTTGAAACAATGTTCTCCCATCTGCCATTTGGAAGATAAGTTTGACATGCAAAGTAAAATCCAAGAAATGTATTGGCAGATGTATCCAAGCTATATTAACAATTGGCAGAAACAATAAAAATGTCAAAATTTTTCAAAGTTGAGATCAATTTTTTCCCGTCTGCCAATAATCTATAATAAATTAGCTACTACTAAAAGCTTAAATTTCGAATAGCAGAAATTGCAGGCTGATACAAGTTCTTATAATTGATGAACAAAATTGGAACAAAAATTGTTCATATCATGAACGTTTTTAACCCGTCTGCCGTTTGTTTCAGTGAAATGTAGTTATGAGAATATGCATATTCTCAATATGAGGAGGAATGAAAGTTGTGTATTTTCGTGCAAATATTTAATTATTCAAAAATCAGTGCAGAGCGCTTTCGGCCTTAGGCCATCATTAGTGCTACTTCGTCAGGTAATCAAGTGCAGAAAAATTCAATAAAATCGGGACGACACATTGGACAAGTACGTACGTAACAACAACACTTTAAAATTAGAATATTATATCACATTTTTTATATAAAGGAACTAAGTTATAGACATTACTCTCACAATGCTGGCTTTAGGGTCTAATCTGTTGAACTTTTAGAATTTTGGTCAATTGTGCCTTAATTTTTCGTAGTTTGTGAAATTAATCTTTATGTTAAATCCTAAATTTAAGATTTTTAGAATTTTTATTAAAAAAGCGTGTCGTTCGGAAACCAGAACCCATCGATGGGTTCTGGTGTTTATGATGTTAATGTGTCCAAAACACTTTCTCCCGTCTGACAACCGGGTAATTAAAATTAAAGTAGCTCTCAAGATACCTAAATATGATAAGGCAGAACAATAAAAAATTGTATCTTTAGGAAAAAAAAAAATGTTTTAATCATCAACATCATCAAAAACAGCACGTCATTATTATCATCAGCATTATTATTATCGTTTTCGGGGATAATACCACGGGAGCTTCAAAATTACCGATAATTTTTCACGATTGCGTGTTTTCTATAATTTAACGAGTCCGTAGGACGAGTGAAATTTGCAGAGAAAACACGCATGAGTGAAAAATTATCTGGTTCATTTTAAAGCTCAAGTGGTATTTATTAAAAATTAGCATAATAACCATATATACAATAACATGGGAGAATTATCGCTGTAATTCTCTCTAGTTAAACAAATGGAAGAGAGAATTTTCGCTGTAATTCTGAAAATCGTCACTTGTCTTATGGAATTTTTAACACATGAGTGGAATAATCATTGTTATCTATCACTTCAGAGTCACTTCCATCACAACTGATGTCACCTTTTCCATTATTATCATTATTATTGCCGTCATCCAAATCTGATAGATCGCCAAAATCTTCGTTTTCATTAATTTCTTCTTCATTTTCATCCTCATCAGAAAAACCTATATGTGTGATAGGCATTGAAAAAAAAAAATAACTTGTATGTGAGATTTCAAACATTTGTACATAAGCAGTCATTTTGCCTTTTGATAAGTATTCAGTTTGATAGTAACTCTATTCAATTAAGTTAGCAGACGGGAGAAAATTGCAATTTAACAACCATATGTGCAACTTATTGCGGTTTCTGCTATATTGAAAATATGCATATTCTCATAACTACATTTCACTTAACCAAATGGCAGACTGGTTAAAAACGCTCATCATATAATAGATATATATTTTCAAACAATCCTTATTCCGAATAGTGCAGAATTTTTCATTTAAATTATGACATTCATATTTAGAAGGATCACCTTTATAAGCAGCTATACCTGTATGTACAGGTGAACTACCTTAAATCGCTATGGAAAAACATGCGTAACGGCGTAAAAATGTTATACTCCGGCGGAGTATAACATTTATACGCCGATCAAGCTGAGTCATTGAAGAGACACTTATACCGTGTCAAAATGATCACAAAAATTACTGTTATATGACGTTTGAAAATAAACAATTATTGTCGCAATTTTGTTCATTGTTTATTAGGACTTGTACCAGTCTCCAATTTCTGCCAGTCAAAACTTAAGCTTTTGGTAGCAGCTTTTTTAATATAAATTAATGGCAGACGGGAAATAATTGATCTCAAATTTGAGAAATTTTGACATTTTGAAAAAATAAAATAAATATCTGTACCACTTCAATTTTTCTGCAGGTGTAAAGGTACATTATTTATCTAAAATCCATTGTAACAAAACATGTTTTAGGCGGGACAAAATTGTTTCAACATCTCAGCATTTTGATACAACTTCAAAGATTGTTAAATATTATTATACCAACTGAGATTTTCTGCCATCTACTCATTGATGTATTACATCGTAAATGTAACATAACTTTAATTTGGCAGACGGGAGGTCGTTGATCCACATGTCCGATTTTGGCGACATTTTAAAATTCGTAATATGACACTTTATACTAACCTAGGGTTTCCGCCGTTTAGCTTCCTTCTACTAATTTTTGTTTAAATTACCCCTCACAATGTGTGGCAGACGGGATAATATTGATCCAAATCTCCACTTTTCATTACATTTTCAAATTAGCATGTCATTGTATTGTCACACGCGGGGCTCTTTGAAATTTCAGCCATTCCACTTTTTATTGCATGAAGAATAACCACCCTTAATGGCAGACGGGAGAAAATCGTTTTAAAAAAATTAAAGAAAAAAATATCATTCAGATTGTTTGAAATCATGTTGGAAATAAAAAACAAGTTAAGAGTTATTTTTAAATTTTCTATTCTGCGTTTTCATTCAGCATTTTATTGTTTTTCCACTGTCGTTATTATATTATTAGATCACATCTAAGTGTGGGGTTGTGCCCCATAAATCCATCAATGTATGGGCCGCTAGACTAAAATTTCCCGGCCCACTTCCCAAAGTTTGTCCAACCCTGATTAGAGGCCCTAATTAGCACCTAAAAAGCACCTAATTGTTATATAGATCTTGAAGTTTTTTTGCCATTCTGACACACCAACAAATAAACGTAAAGCCAGCAGTCCCCTTATAATTAAAAAAAAACTCTGTAACTAAGTTAATAATTAATACATTCTATTTTTTCTTCGATTATTTAGGAGCACCTAAAAAGCACCTAATTCTGATACAAAAGAAAATTTCGAAAAAATATTTTTAACTATAGGGGACTTCTAGCTTTCATAAACCTAGCAGTCCCTTAGTTTTTTTTTTGATTTTCTCAAAAACTAGAGGAGCACCTAATTATTATATAGATCCCGAAGTTTTTTTTGCCATTCTGACACACCAACAAGTAAACGTAAAGCCAGCAGTCCCCTAATAATTAAAAAAAATCTGTAACTCAGTTAATAATTAATCAATTCTATTTTTTCTTGGACTATTTAGGAGCACCTAAAAAGCACCCAATTCTGATACAAAGAAAAAATTTGAAAAAATATTTTTTACTATAGGGGACTGCTAGCTTTTATAAACCTAGTAGTCCCTTAGTTTTTTTTGATTATCTCAAAAATTAAAGGAGCACCTAATTTTTGATTAGAGGCCCTAATTAGCACCTAAAAAGCACCTAATTCCCGAAGTTTTTTGCCACCTTGGGACTGCTAGTTTTATAGACCTCAGAAAATGTTTGACAGACTATCCAAATTCAATTTGTCCTTGAATATTGATCTAATTTACAGAAAGGATCATAACTCAGATTCTGAACAATGTATCAATAATGCGGTTTGAGATTCTCAATGAAGGAAGTTTCATTTTATAATTCGATTTTCAATATATATAATTTGAAGTTGCTCAGAAAAGCAGAAAATTCAAATTTGTCCTTGAAAATTGATTTATAATTTAGAAAAAGTGTTAAAGCTCAGATTCTGAGCAATTTACCAACATGCGGTTTGAAATTTTCAATAGAGAAAATTTCATTGTCATCCGCTGAATCTTCTTCAATGGCTTTCTGTAAAAACCATAATATACTCGTCATATATTTATTTTCTTTTACAGATTACCGAAACAATTCTTACAAGAACAATAAAAAGAAACCCTCAGCTACGAGTCCTCATCATTCCAAACAAAGCGACAAACAACGTTTTGAAAGAAATCACAAATCTCAAACACCTAAAAATGCTGGATATAAGTGGAAACAATCAACTGACCCTTGAAGACTTGAACTACATTTCCAGTACTTCTTTGGAGATTTTGACAATAGGCAACTCCATAATATCTAATCTGGATTTTGAAAACTTGGCATTTATTTTACAAAAAAATCCAAACTTAAAAGAAATTAAAATGTATGATTACATGGGCAAAGCCCTATTGACATTAAAATCCCCATACATTTGCAAACTAAACGCAATCAGAGATTATAAAACCTCAACAAAACAGATAAAAGCCATCATTGGTATTTGTCCAAACCTCAAGAAACTCTCCCTGGAAACTCCTGATATTAACATTTTCAAACATTTACAACAATTAACCTCATTGCAAACCCTTAAACTAACCCATTGCCAAAACATTGAACTAAATTTAAAAAACCTAACTCTAAAAACATTACAAATCCATTCCGCCATAATAAACTCCACAAAATTATGCTTGACAATACAAAACCTATTATTAAAATCTTGCAAATTAACCCACAATGACACAATATGCTTTAGAAATCTTAAAACCCTCGAACTAATCGATTGCAATATCAAAAATAAATCCACAATAATGAACTTTTTAACATACGCAAATCAATTACAAAGATTCACAATGTCAAACGACATAGGCATTGATGATGAAGATATAAAATTACTATGTGAAAACAAAAAGCTAAAAAGTTTGGAAACATTATGGCTTTCAATGGCTAAACAATTAACTAGTGATTCGGTTGTAAGACTAATGAATCATTGTGATAAATTGACTTCTATTGGGACATTGAATGGTTGGAATATTAGCAAAGATGAAGTGAATTATTTAAGATGTTTTATTTATTTTAAAATGTAAATTTGCAATTGTTGTATTTTAGTTGTTTTTAGTTAAATATATACGCATTTACTGTACATAGTCTATTTTTAACATCAAAGTTTATTTTAGTTTGGCTTGTGAGCTGTAATATACACACATACATAATATAAGAGTGAGTTTTAATTTTTCATTTATACAAAATTCAATGTCACCGAAAAGGCAACCATCAAGTTTACATAAAATTTGTGTTAGTTTATTGTCCAAGCAACTGATACAAGCTTTAAGCGACGAAGATGGACAATTCATTGAAGATTTAATGATTTACATGTCGTCAGCAACTTATGATACGTTACAAGTTTTGCTCAATGAGATTTTAGGTAAGCTAAAATCCATTTTGTTAATTGAAAACCAATCATGCCTATGTTATATGGAATCGATGAATTCAAATTGAAAATTTATTTTTAGGACACATCAATTTGGATGCTAGTACAAGGTTTAGTTGCTTGCAAGTGCTACTAAGAGAAGATGTTAAGAATTTGGAAGTTGGGATTTTTCCTAGGTTTTATTGGGACAAAATATTAGGTCAGTACCATACAAAACATGCTCAAAAATCTAACAAATTGAATTTTGATAGTTATGTCAAACATTTTCTGCTTTTCTGAGAAACTTCAAATTTTTAGGAATTATACAATGAAACTTCCTTTATTGAAAATCTTAAACCGCATGTTGATGTTTTGCTCAGAATCTGAGTTGTGACCCCTTTCTCCAAATTAGTTCAAATTGAATTTTGATAGTCTGTCAAACATTTTTTGCTTTACTGAGCAACTTCAAATTTTTAGGAATTATACAATGAAACTTCTTTTATTGAAAATCTCAAATCGCATGTTGATGTTTTGCTCGGAATCTGAGTTATCGATCTGGAGAAGAATCTCCACAAAATCAGAAGATTTTGGCGTTTTTGATTCATGTAGAACGTTGGTAGAACATTTTTTAGTATTAAGACAAGACAAAGTTTCAACTTTGAGGTTGAATATCCCAAAAACTATTTGAGATAAATGTTTTGATTTTGTTTTATCCCGAAGAACATTCAATTCTGATTAAGAATATATATAAATATTCATCGGAATTTATAGAATATTAATTGAGCTATTAGCGATTTTCTGAGGCAATGCAAAACTTTTATATCAATGTGACAGAACATTTTACATCTACTCGAGCAAATTTTATTCAAAAACATCTACTACTAACATGAATATATTTTATTCCACTTTTCCATAATTCAATCAAAAGTACCAACAGGTTATGGGTGTAGAAATAAATTTGACCTGGAAGAAAAAAGCCCAACGAATTGTATTCCTTTTCCAGGTTAATTTAATTATCTGTCTGAAAACCTGTAAAACAATAAATTTTGTCCCCGTAGGCGCTGCCAACAAAATAAAAAAATAAACCGATTCTCCCCTGTTAGCTGGATAGTGAATGTCGTTGCTAATCAGCTTTAAGGGCCCCTTTCTAGTTGTAGCGTTAATTGAAGCATTCTTTTTTTCCAGAGACAATCCACGTAAAAGGCAAAGGCCTGCAATATCTAAACATGAAAGGAGTATGGGTGAGGGATTATCCACAATTATTAAGCAGCCTAATTGAGAATTTGAAAAATTTAAAAAGCTTAATAATTCCTCATATGCCAGACGATTCTGTGATACTGTCTGTGATTAAGCTTAAAAATCTAATGAAGCTTGATATTAGTGGAGAAGCTTGTTATACTAGCCAAGGCATAAAGCTACTTAAAAGTGAATCAATTCGTATTTTAGACATTGGCAGCTTTGGAAAGTCAGCATTATGTAATGATTCCAGTAACGATTGGCAATTAATGGCTGAAATAATTGAAAACCTACCCAATTTGCATATTCTTAAAACCTATTCTTTTACTGGACAAGCATTGTTGTATTTGTACAATAAAGATTCTAATTTCAAAACAAAATTAACTTACTTGCATACAACTGATTGTAACAAGGAAGTTTTTGAAGCAATTGTCCAAACTTGTCCATTTTTGGAAAACTTACACTTAAACTCACCTCAGGAAAATGTTGTTGTTAACTTGAGTGCTTTAAAAAAATTGCATTCGCTTAAACTTACTAAAGGAGACAATATTGAGCTTAAAACTTATCTACAAACATCTGGCCACCAATTGCAAGCCTTAAAACTAAACCACAGCAAACATTCTAGCATAGATTTATCAGAATTATGCGAATATTGTCCATATATAACAACATTAGAATGTTATCAAATGTACTTGAAATATACCAATTTAAATGTATTTTTTATGAACTTGCAAAAAGTTCAAATATTGTACTGTGATATAACTGACAATGTGATAAAAAGTTTATTAATTAATGCTCCCTTTTTGCAAAGCATTAGTGTTGGGTGCAATTTACAATTAACTGATGGAGATATGTTCAGGTGAGAATTTATTTTAATTTATTTAATAAATAATTTGCTTTATTGTAGATTATTAGCTGAATGCACTTTGGAAAACTTAGAAGAACTATTATTAAGTGACGCAAGATTTTTAACAGCAATCACCGTTGAACTATTAGCAGAAAATTGTCCCAAATTGAAACTACTAGGCTCATTAATCAGCTGGGATATTACACAAGACGAGGTTGAAGCTTTAAGGATAATAATAGCTATATCAAACACCGATTTAACTTTATGGCCAATTTAATAATTAAGCATTAATTGTCTTGTAAATAGACGATAACAAAGCATATTTGTCTCCATACATTCCATTAAAATCATCTGTGTCTAATGACCAAATCATAACACCACCAAGTCCCTGATCTAAGACATATTGGGTTTTAGTTTGGACGGTTTGGACATTGTCGTAACTCATCCAAATGTCGCCGCACCAAGAGTAAACGTTATCATCTGATATTTCTGTGCCTTGACAGCGATTATTTACCATTTCTGCTACCTAGAACAATTTAGTTTAAATACTTAGGGCGGGTATTATAAAACTATTTTGACAGGAAAACTAAAAGTTAACTTTTGGAGTAATTGCAGAAGTTAACTTTCAGTTATTCTGTCAGAATAGTTTTATCTTGATCATTATTATGGATGGAATCTTATTGCCTCATAATAAGCTAAAAATCCGTCTTCGTCTGTCCAAGCTCCACCACAAGTTGTTGTAGTTACAGGGGCACCGATAGCATGATTTTTGGAGTCTTCCAAGTTGAAACAACGAGCATAAGTTGGAACGCCTAGGATTAGTTTGGATTTAGGTAGGCCTTTGGTTAACCAAATGTTGATTTTTTCTTTCTGAAAAGGAGCTAGTTGGTAAAAACTATTGAAAGTGTGATATTGATGCACCTACTATTATGGATAATGGTGCCAAGAGTCCTGTAACGTTGGAATTTGCAGTGATCAGATCGTAGGCCATTAAATGTACATAATCCACATAGCTGAAACATAGTTTTACCCCCTTAAATCACCTGCAACGTAATTTGCAACTCAAGTGAAGTTCCCCAAACGATGTATTTTGGTACTGCTTATAATTTCCAGTACTGTTTGTGCCCGAGAATAGGGTGGAAATGTCCATATTTTCACAAAAACCCTTTTTTTATTAATTGCAATTATTAGTTTTACCCCCTTTAATCACCTCCCTTGTAATTTGCAAGTCAAGTGAAGTTCCTCAAACGATGTATTCGAGTACTGACTATAATTTCCAATACTGTTTGTCCCGAGATTAGAGTGGAAATGTCCATATTTTCACTAAAACTAAAAATCGCAATTTTTAGTTGTACCCCTTTAAATCAACTCCAAGTAATTTGCAAGTCAAGTGAGGTTCCCCAAACGATGTATACCTATTGGTATTGCCTATTACTTCAAGTACCATTTATACCCAAGACTACTATTTTAGAGACAATCAAGAGCCGATAATGATTTCCTGATGATAAATAGAAAATTTCTAATACAATCCCAATTCCACTCTCGCTCAAATGTCTTATTGTGCATGAACGGTATTAAATCCTATTCTTGCAATAATCAATACTCACTCAGCAATATTTTCGATATCGTAATAACTATCGTCGATACCAACGGCGATGGTCAATCGAAAACCCCAAGGCGATAGTCTGGCTTTGAGCGTTTTCAATAAGGCTACAAAACTGGATTTATCTGCTGGTATTCCACCTCTGGCTGTAGGGTATTCCCAATCCAAATCCACACCATCAAAACCGTAGTGAACTATGAATTTTATGACGCTATCTGCGAACTTTTGTCTTAGGTCTTCTGTTGAAGCCATCTGAAAGTTGACCAATAATGAGAGTTTTTTTTGTGTGAACTCAACTTAAAATGGTTATAACTTTTAAACGGCTTATGTTAGCGAATTGAGGTTTATTTTAACTTGAAAATCACCTCAAAATCTATCGATATGCATCAAAAAAATCATTAAAATTTAATGCTTTGGCCGTAGACCCCGAGGCTTGAAAGTTTTCCAATGGCAAATGCAAGTTTTTAGTGTGAACTCAACTTAAAATGGTTATAACTCTTAAACGGCTTATGTTAGCGAGTTAAGGTTTATTTTAACTTGAAAATCACCTCAAAATCTATCGATATGCATCAAAAAAATCATTAAAATTTAATGCTTTGGCCGTAGACCCGAGGCTTGAAAGTTTTCCAATGGCAAATGCAAGTTTTTAGTGTGAACTCAACTTAAAATGGTTATAACTCTTAAACGGCTTATGTTAGCGAGTTAAGGTTTATTTTAACTTGAAAATCACCTCAAAATCTATTGATATGCATCAAAAAATTCATTAAAATTTAATGCTTTGGCCTTAGACCCGAGGCTTGAAAGTTTTCCAATGGCAAATGCAAGTTTTTAGTGTGAACTCAACTTAAAATGGTTATAACTCTTAAACGGCTTATGTTAGCGAGTTAAGGTTTATTTTAACTTGAAATTCATCTCAAAATTTATCAATAAGCATTAAAAAATTAATTAAAATTTAATGCTTTGGCCTTAAACACGAGGCTTGAAAGTTTTCTAATTGCAAATGCAAGTTTTTTAGTGTGAACTCAACTTAAAATGGTTATAACTTTTAAACGGCTTATGTTAGCGAGTTAAGGTTTATTTTAACTTGAAAATCACCTCAAGATCTATCGATATGCAACAAAAAATCTAATGCTTTGTTCTCAGACACTAAACTAAACTTACAATTGAATATTTAAGTGACCCTTCATTCCAACCACCAATAGCAATAGTTGTTTTGACGCAAGGATTTTCTTGTTTAAATGCCGAAACATTTGCGAATCCACCCAAAGTTATATCGGCATTATAGTCCAGCGAATCAATTAGCAAGTCCATATTTAAACCGGCAAAACTGTAAATGATGTTGGTGCATAATTTGGGATCGATTTGTTCGGTTGTAAAGCGGCCCTCATATGTCCTGTAAATTGCCCAGCTTCCAAAATAACATACAATTTCCGCTTTGGAATCTAGAAAAATCTTGTATTCTGAATACATAATATATAAAATTTAAATTCAGCTTTGCCACAGCATAAAATACATATGCTGCTTGAATCTGATTTTGTATATAGCTAATAAAGAAAATTTAACATCTTACCGCATTCAGCCCCCTTTACATAGCTTCTTTGGCTCAAAAAAGCCACTAGTAAAACAAAAAAAATTATATTCATCTTGCTTTGAAACAATTTACAAAACTGATATTGCAAATTATTTTATCCAAAGCTTTATATTGATTTTAAATCCTTTAAGCTGGTTTAATTTTGACAGTAATCAATTATAGTTAAGTGGAAAATAGATAAAAGTTTTCCGTAAACAAAATTACAAAAAAATATAGTGATAATATGCCCGCCTAAAAAAGGTTCGGATAAAGGCGCATGACCCGAAATCAGTGCCCCTACTATAGAAACGTGCTCCGCTCCAAAAGGGAAAATCCATCAGTTTCCAGTCGGTTTTCCACGTTTTCCGCGAAAAGTTGATTGTCGGATAAACCAAGTTGACACACGCGACTCAGACAAAAAACATTTTTGAATTGGATCAGTGAATTATTGAAGTGGTAATCAAATTGATTTTGAGTTTTAATGCATGTATTTTTTAATGTCTGATAATGCTTTTTAGACCGAAACAAGTCTTACTTTTTATGTTTTTAGTCTAGCTGGACTTATCTATTCTGAGACATAATAAACTTTTTATTTCTGATGTCTTAGAAAAAATTAGTTATTGTATTACAAAAGTTTTCTGATACCTACATACAAGATCAGAAATTATCTGATGGTATATACTAGATATTTTTTTTTTGGGTTATTATTTTCGGCATTTGATTCGAAAAAATATTGACATTGATCAACCAATTAGCAAAATTTTAGAAGAGATAGCTCAGAGATCCCTCCATAAGTTCCGCAACAATCCATTCGTGTGTACTTGAATAACTTATCACAATATATTACTAGTTTGGTAAAATAACATTACTAAGTCCTGTTAAAAGGCAAATTGACAAAAAGTGGATAATCTTACAAATTCTGACTTTATATAATAAGTTATTGTTCAAGTACAAATAAGTGGATTATTGTGGAACTTATGGGTGGATCTCTGCGGGACGAGCGCAGCGAGTTCCGCAGCCATCTATTCACTGTTCAAATAAGACATTCATCTGAAACGTGTACTTTTTAAATAAATGCGAATAACGCACATTTGAATGAGTCAGTTTAGTATTGTAATTAAACAACATATTGATGAATAGATGGCTGCGGGACGAGCGCAGCGCCTATTTTCAACTTTACAAAAAAAAATTATAAAGAGAACTTGTTCATTTTATCATTTTGAGCAACTTCTCTTTATAACTTTTTTTTTGTAAAGTTGAAAATAGGCGAACTATTCCAAAAAACAAAAAGGTGGTGGAAAAAAAATCCTTATAATAGAATATTAATTGCACCTTTTTATATGCACTAAAGGCGAGAAAAGAAAAAATAAATTAATATATACCCCTAAAAAATAAAATTTCCCCGAGGGAAATGTCCCCCCGCTGAATGGGGGTGAGTTACAAAAAAAGTTGATTAGGAAAAATTTTAGAAAATGTCATTTTATAAAACTTTTATTAGGAAATTTTTTTTGTAAAGAAATAAAAAAACTTTAAACTACCCCTATTGAAAAACGGCAGGGGGTGAGTAAAAACTTCATAAAGCAAAAATGTTGTATGAGTTGTAGAAACTTTTTTCACGTTGGTTGAAATTTTTCATTCTCATTATAAAATTTCAAACGGCCCTTATGACCACAGACGGAGCTTAATCAAAAAAATCTTTAGATAAACATTGTAGATCAAATAATGTTGCACATCTTTTATTTGAAACATTTTTTTGTAAAATCAATAGGTACCAAGTAAACGCCAATGGCGCACTTTCAACCCCTATAGCGCAAAACGCCAGAGGGGTGAATGTTTGATGTTTTCGGTTTTATGATCACCCACCCTCCCCCTATCATCCCTGAAAAGTTCTTTTGGGTAGGATTTTTTTTTTTGAAAACCGACAATTTTCCTAGACTGAAAGGGTTTGTAATGTTCTGTTCTTGTGATGTGTAGTTAGTTCTATAAGTAGCTGTGCTTTCCACACTGTGTTCGATATAATTGGATATCTCAAGAATCGAAAATTAATAAAATTCATTTTCCAATAGATATAAGTACTTCATTAATGTGAACCTCGATGTGAACTGACAAGAAAAATAAATCACATCATTCACAGGTAATTTACAGCCAAATAATAATATGAAAATCAAAAATCATAATCATTAAAAAAATTATCGAAGAAGAAGAACAACAAACTAAATATTCAGCTAGAAGATACAGAATATATAGCTACAAAATTAAAAGATCTAAGTAGAACGCAAGAAGTGACAAGAAAAATATATAAACAGAAAAGAGTAAAAAAACTATTATAACTTTCTCAAACAAAATCAAATCCTCCCTAATTGCCCGCAAGAACCCCTTGAAAAAAGTTCTCATATCACTATCGGACAAATCGGCTTTTAATTTCCCTCATTCGTCCAAGCCAGAGGGGAGAAAAAAAGTTAAAATGAGAAAACATCATCCCTTCAACTGACGAGAGAATTCGCACCCTTTATTTTGACCGAAATCACGTGATTGTTATTGCCCTAAAACGAAGTTAAAAGCCCTTTAATTATTTGTCAAGTGGTGGGTGGGTAACTTAAAAATATGTACCTACCTACACAAAAGTAATACATAATTGTATAAGGGTTTCAAATAAGCCAATTATATTTGATACCTACTATACGAAAAGTATATGAAATAAATCCCTTCTTTTTGTCAAAGCTCTTCCTTGTTCACTGAGCTATATAGAAATAATTTTCTAAGATCCTCTTCCATGTATTTTGTTCCCTTTCTTTGCCTCATAAAAAAAAAAAAACTGGGGGATTTTTCACATTATAGCTTTACTGATTTAGATTTTTGAAATCCTATGGGGATTAATTTACAAACCGATTAAAATCGGAAATTCGCGGTGCAGTATAGGAAAATCCCGCATTCATTCCGTTTATCCCGCAATAGGAAAAACTTTCAAATCATAATAAATGTTTAAGTGATTTCCCCGTTTTCCCGATAAACCCTTTTACCCAGGTACTTCCTTAGGGACTCGAAGTTTTTGGTGCACGCAAATATAATTAGGGGTGCCACAATGAAAATGCGCCAGCCAGTCGAAGCTGAACTCCGGAACTTTAAATCGAAAGTTCGTGTTAAAAATGCCTGTTTAAATTTGCCATTATGGGTCGGAGGAGACCAACAACGCCTTCCGTGGAAAAGTTGAAGAAGTTTTTGTTTATCATGGGAATTAGACTTTAATTTTATAATTCTAGATGATATTTATGCAGGAATATTATGTTTATACAATTTCTGTTTTTGTGCTAGTATTTATACTAGGGTTTGTTTATTCTTTAAATATCAAAATATATGTGTGGATGCAGCAAGTTCCGCAGCTATCTATTCATCAATATGTTGTTATTCTCATTAGTTTAGAAACTACACGTTTCAAGTGAATGTCTTACTTGAACAGTTAAACAGTATATTGGTGAGTAGAGGTCCACCTATAAGTTCCGCAATTATCCACTTATTTGTACTTGAACAATAACTTATTATATAAAGTCAGAATTTGTAAGATTATCCACTTTTTGTCAATTTGCCATTTAACAAAACTTAGTAATGTTACTTTACCATACTAGTAACATAATATGACAAATTATTCAAGTACTGAGTGAATTGTTGCGGAACTTATGGGTGGACCTCTGCGGGACGAGCGCAGCGAGTTCCGCAGCCATCTATTTATCAATATGTTGTTTAATTACGATACTAATCTGACTCACTCAAATGTGAGTTGTTCTCATTAGTTTAGAAACTACACGTTTCAAGTGAATATCTTTCTTGAACAGTTCAACAGTATATTGGTGAGTAAAGGTCCACCTATAAGTTCCGCAATAATCCACTTATTTGTACTTGAACAATAACTTATTATATAAAGTCAGAATTTGTAAGATTATCCACTTTTTGTCAATTTGCCATTTAACAAAAAATAGTAGTGTTACTTTACCATACTAGTAACATAATGTGACAAATTATTCAAGTACAAATGAGTGAATTGTTGCGGAACTTATGGGTGGACCTCTGCGGGACGAGCGCAGCGAGTTCCGCAGCCATCTATTTAACAATATGTTGTTTAATTACGATACTAATCTGACTCACTCAAATGTGAGTTATTCTCATTAGTTCAGAAACTACACGTTTCAAGTGAATATCTTACTTGAACAGTTCAACAATATATTGGTGAGTAGATGGCTGCGGAATTCGCTGCGCTCGTCCCGCAGAGGTCCACCTATAAATTCCGCAATAATCTACTTATTTGTACTTGAACAATAACTTATTATATAAAGTCAAAATTTGTGAGATTGTGATTATTCACTTTTTGTCAATTTAGCTTTCAACAGGAATTAGTAATGTTACTTTACTAAACTAGTAACATAAAGTGACAAGTTATTCAAGTACAATGAGCGGATTGTTGCGGAACTTATAGGTGAACCTCTGCGGGACGAGCGCAGCGAGTTCCGCAGCCATCTATTCATCAATATGTTGTTTAATTACGATACTAATCTGACTCACTCAAATGTGAGTTATTCTCATTAGTTTAGAAACTACACGTTTCAGGTGAATGTCTTATTTGAACAGTTCAACAGTATATTGGTGAGTAGATAGCTGCGGAACTCTCTGCGCTCGTCCCGCAGAAGTACACCCATAAGTTCCGCAATAATCCACTTATTTGTACTTGAACAATAACTTATTATATAAAGTCAGAATTTGTAAGATTATCCACTTTTTGTCAATTTGCCTTTTAACAGGAATTAGTAATGTTACCTACTTCACCAAACTAGTAACATAATGTGACAAATTATTTAAGTACAAATGAGTGAATTGTTGTGGAACTTATGGCTAGACCTCTGCGGGATGAGCGCATCGAGTTCCGCAGCCATCTATTTATCAATATGTTGTTCAATTACGATACTAACCTGACTCACTCAAATGTGAGTTATTCTCATTAGTTTAGAAACTACACGTTTCAGGTGAATATCTTACTTGTGTAGGAGGCCTTAGCGAGATTTAATAAATATCTTTATTGAAAGTTCACTCAGTAATCTGTAATATCCACTTTTAATTGTAAAAAATTGTATAAACCTGACAAACTTTAAAAAATTATCTTTCCCTCAGACAACTGCTGTCAACTACCTTTTCACGTGTTGCTGGTCTACACCATATCTATTGATATCCTGGAGGCAAAGCCTACAACTCGGCTTTCCTGACAAATATAGGCGACCTCGCTTATAAAACATAAAACCTAACATAAATTATTCATAAGATAGACATGCTTGCATAATGACATAAGGTATCATAAAGACATGATAAGGTATCATAAGAACATAAGGTATCATAAGTACATAAGGTATGATAAGGACATAAGGTATCATAAGAACATAAGGTATCATAAGAACATAAGGTATGATAAGGACATAAGGTATCATAAGTACATAAGTTATGATAAGGACATAAGCTATCATAAGTACATAACGTATGATAAGAACATAAGGTATCATAAGAACATAAGGTATCATAAGAACATAAGGTATGATAAGGACATAAGGTATCATAAGTACATGAGGTATGATAAGGACATAAGGTATCACAAGGACATAAGGTATCACATTTAAATTCAAGTATCACAAAGATGAACACGTTTATCAGAAACGATTTCTTCGTTCCGCACGTTTCTGCAGTCGTCGTTCATTTTGTTTCATAAATTTAGGCGGTAGCCATGAAGATGCAAACCATAATTTTGCACTGGCACAGTAAATATGCAAACCATAATTTTGCATTTGCACAAATCGGCTTCTTTTTCCCACTAAGCCATGAAGATGCAAACCATAATTTTGCACTGGCATAAATATGCAAACCATAATTTCGCACTGGCACAAATCGGCTTCTTTGTCCCACTAAGCCATGAAGATGCAAACCATAATTTTGCACTGGCACAAATCGGCTTCTTTGTCCCATTAAGCCATGAAGATGCAAACCATAATTTTACACTGGCACAGTAAATATGCAAACCATAATTTTGCATTGGCACAAATCGGCTTCTTTGTCCCACTAAGCCATGAAGATGCAAACCATAATTTTGCACTGGCACAGTAAATATGCAAACCATAATTTTGCATTTGCACAAATCGGCTTCTTTTTCCCACTAAGCCATGAAGATGCAAACCATAATTTTGCACTGGCATAAATATGCAAACCATAATTTCGCACTGGCACAAATCGGCTTCTTTGTCCCACTAAGCCATGAAGATGCAAACCATAATTTTGCACTGGCACAAATCGGCTTCTTTGTCCCATTAAGCCATGAAGATGCAAACCATAATTTTACACTGGCACAGTAAATATGCAAACCATAATTTTGCATTGGCACAAATCGGCTTCTTTTTCCCACTAAGCCATTAAGATGCAAACCATAATTTTGCACTAGCACAAATCGACTTCTTTGTCCTTGTTATTCCCACAATTATCCATCCATTATCCCACTTCTGAAGTTTGTAGGAGGCCTTAGCAAGATTTAATAAATATCTTTATTGAAAGTTCACTCAGTAATCTGTAATATCCACTTTTAATTGTAAAAAATTGTAGAAACTTGACAAACTTTAAAAAATTATCTGTCCCTCAGACAACTGCTGTCAACTACCTTTTCACGTGTTGCTGGTCTACATCATATCTATTGATATCCTGGAGACAAAGCCTACACTTGGAACAGTTCAACAGTATATTGGTAAAAAGATGGCTACGGAACTCGCTGCGCTCGTCCCACAGGGATCCACCAATAAGTTCCGCAATAATCTACTTATTTGTACTTGAACAATAACTTATTATATAAAGTCAAAATTTGTGAGATTATGATTATTCACTTTTTGTCAATTTAGCTTTCAACAGGAATTAGTAATGTTACTTTACCAAACTAGTGATATATTGTGACAAGTTATTCAAGTACAAATGAGTGGATTGTTGCGGAACTTATGGGTGGACCTCTGCGGGACGAGCGCAGCGAGTTCCGCGGCCACCTATTCATCAATATGTTGTTTAATTACGATACTAATCTAACTCACTCAAATGTGAGTTATTCTCATCAGTTTAAAAACTACAGGTTTCAGGTGAATGTCTTACTTGAACAATTCAACAGTATATTGGTGAGTAGATGGCTGCGGAACTCGCTGCGCTCGTCCCGCAGAGGTCCACCTATAAGTTCCGCAATAATCCATTTATTTGCATGTACCTAGGACCTACTTTAAAACTTTACAAATGTAAACTTTCTTCTTCTTTTATTGTTTTGTTGCAATATTATATTCTATTATTCTGTATCTTCTATTTGATTATTTAGGAAATTAAATTTCCTTGGGGATATGTTTTTATTTTTCTTGTAATTCGATTATTCATTATTGAGACGACATTATTGTCTCTCCGTATGCAAAGGATTCCAGCTATGTTATTAGCCCTTTGCCTGCTGAAAAATTCAATATTTTCTTTCATTGAATTATGCTTTGAACACCTGGGATGATCATCAAATTTAATTGAAGAAGAAACAGCAAGCAATATCTAAATTCTAATCTCAAATTCCTCTAAATCTAGAATTATTTTCACATTTTGACTTTATCTGAAAAGGAATCAGTATATCATAGTCGGATTTAGGATTTTCATCAATTATAGGTAGATACCTAATTGCTTCAACAACTTCATCGACTTTCCCATCTTCTATATTTTAAAACTTGTTCCAGTCATACTTCAAAGTTAAATTTTAGTCGAAATTTAGTCAAAAACTTCAAACTCGAATTTCTCAAAAACTGTATTTTCCAATACAGGTTTTTTAGAGCTCAATAAGAGCTACAATTCCTGAAAATTTTGATTCAATATCTCTCCCGTATTCCAAGATATTGGAGCTTAAAGATTTTGAAATAAGAATCCAGAAAGGGTAGCTCCTTGAAAAAAAAATCGAAATTTTCATTTTTCATATTCTCCGAATTTTGACTAACCTAATCGATAGAGCGGGTCTAAATTAGTCGAGAAAAACCCTAACACAATTTTCAAATGATCAATTTAAAGAGAAAAAAAAAAACGAAAAAAGAATTTCATTTTTTGGTTCTGAATGCTTTTTCAATCATCACAGGATTAAGAAAAATTGCCAATATTTCTATTAAAATTCAAGTAAATCGAAATAAGTTATAAACTATCAGAAAAAGCATTAAATTCTTTATAAATCCGCGCCAAATTGAGTGTCATAGCCCAAATACTTTTTGAGCTATTGAGCCTCAAAGTTGAATTATTTAATCAAGTATTTTTCTCACGTTACATCTTAAATCCATGACTCAATCTTTCCAGTAATCTTCCAAACTCCAAAACAATTGTTCAAATAGTTTCACTAAGCCATAATCGAGCTATTAGATTGCATTTATAGCTGTAATTACACTTTCATGCAACAAGGCATTTATTATTTGTTTGGTCAATGTTAAATAAGTAATATAATTTTTTTTTTTTGAAAATTTCCAGATCTAAACATGGAAATGGAGCTTAAAACTTATTCCACAATCTGAGACACAATCCTGGCGTGTAAAATGTTGGACCGGCTTTCCCTCTTGGGAATATTTTGTCAGTTGTTGACGTGCGTTTCTGCTTTCCAGGGTAAGTTAAGTATAAATAGTTCTAAAATGCTTGTTAGTTGCAGGTTTACTCTGGGTAATTACATGACACGGTTTTGCATGCATATCTTAAACACAACAATAAATTTTAGCTTTATACTACAAGGACTTTTCTAGTTGACTTTTATTGTTCACCTTGTAATTTAACAATTTAAATAACGATCTGCTTGATCCCTTTTCAAAGAAATAAACACCTGTTTCCCTAGGCACCGATATACAAGTTAATTAAACTCCCAGTCTATTTATCGTCAACTTGTTCGACTGGAATGATCGAGTTTTAAATGGGAGTTAGCAGGGAAGATTTGAGGGGAGAGTTGACGGCAACGGATTTGAGTTTTGTACAACTTTTGTTGCATACAAGGCTTCATTAGAAAATTTAATCTTTTAATTAAATTTCTATATGAAAAGTTAATTAATTTTCCGGCCCGCTAGCAAAGTTCTTGTAATGTTTTATTTAAAAGAAAATTCAAACATTATGGCTGCCATTGACACATTTATATCTTTCGCTTCGTTGGGTTTAATTTGGAAACATCGATTCTAAAGGACATTGGGTAGTGTCCATGACTTTTTAATACCATCATCTTTTTCTATTATATTTTTATTCTTGCCAGGAATTCTTATAAAAATAATGACCTGATAATGATATTTTATTTGTTTTATTCATTATGAGAGGTAGAGTTCAAACCTAAGAATCTAAAAGGCCTGCCACACACTATAAGAATTTTGAACCTAAGCTGAATTTTGATCAATTGAAAAAACCTAGAAAAACCAGGTAAAACCCATTTATGGATATTAAAACACTCGAAAATCTTCATCTAGGATAATATGCATCAAGAAACAAGTAGATTGAATTCTGGTTTAATGGAGATAAGACACTTCTTAATCTATATTCGTTTCCATCATTTATCGAGCTTCTATTGGAACATTTATTTTTTCTATTAGATACAACAAGATCCAATAAAAGATAAAAACTAAATCGTGTTTTATTTTAGAAAAAAACCGCTAAACCGAAGTCTGGGTTGTTCGCTAATAAACCGTAATTTCATCTTGCCGGCTCCAGATTTATATCTTTTGTGCGATGCAAATTGAAAACATCCCATCTTGATTAAGATAAAAAGCTTTTCACCCCATTTCGTTTTCGGGGAGAAAAGCTGCGAAACGTTCCAGTTTCACGCATAAATTTGAATATGTAATAATAATTTATTTTACGAATTGGATTCGAATTGGGGAGTTTTGCTTATATTGATTTGTATTTTGTTTGGTTGTAGATTTTTATGAATTTCTAGTATGTTTCACATCAAACCTTTAAGAATAGATTCTCAAAATTTCATTTGTGGAGAAACGGTAGTTTTTGAGTTAAAAGTTCCAACATAGAGGCTTGTCAATGTATATTTTTGCCTAATTTAATTCATAACTTTATAATTAGCGGTTCAATCGGCTTGAATTTTCAATGTGTTTTACTTCAAACCTTTAGGAATAGATCCTCAAAATATCATTATTGCAACCTCAACACTTAACTTTTCAATATTTAAATTTGCATGGATGGTGATCAGAGCCAGCATATACTTAATAGATTTACTTGAAGTACCTACAAGTACAAGTTTTTTAAAATTATACTTTGAATATCAAGTGAACTTGAAATTTACTTGAAAGTCATCAAGTAATTTACTTTAAGTGAAAACATTGAGCTTCAAATAAAGTGGCATTACTTGAAGTATATTTTAGTACTTGAAGTAGGTATGAAAAATACTTTAAATACTCAATTTGCTCAAAAACTATAAACCTGGGAATATTGTAAATCATAGGGTTATCAGAACATATTGAGAGTTACAAATGATGAAAATTTCAAAGCAATTTGTTCAACGGTTACCGAGAAATTGAGGTTTGAATATTTTGAAAACAGAATTCAAAGGGGGTAGTATCCTTATGAAAAACTAGATTTTTTTATTTTTCACTTTTGCTCAATTTTAACTTTACCAATCGATAGAGCGGGTCAAAATTAGTGGAAAACAACCCTCATATTATTTTCAAATGGCTATTTTAAACAGAAACAAAAATAAGAAGAAAATTTTATTTTTGGCTCTAGAAAATTTTCAAAATCTTGACATGTCTTGAGCAATTGCCCATATCTTTGTCAATTTTTGAGCAAATTGAAATAAATTATACATCATTGAAAAGAGCATTAAATTCTCTATAAATCCGTGCAAAATTGAGTTTGATCGCTCACATAGTTTTTGAGTAATTGAGCCTCAAAGTTGATTTTTAATCAAAATTTTGTCAAAAACTTCAAATTCAATTTGCTCAAAAACTATAAACCTGAGAATATTGTAAATTACAGGTTTTTTAAAGCTTATTGAGAGCTACAAATGCTAAAAATTTTAAAGCAATTTGTTCAACGGTTACCGAACAATTGAGGTTTGAATATTTTGAAAACAGAATTCAAAGGGGGTAGTATCCTTATGAAAAACTAGATTTTTTTATTTTTCACTTTTGCTCAATTTTAACTTTACCAATCGATAGAGCGGGTCAAAATTAGTGGAAAACAACCCTCATATTATTTTCAAATGGCCATTTTAAATAGAAACAAAAATAAGAAGAAAATTTTATTTTTGGCTCTAGAAAATTTTCAAAATCTTGACATGTCTTGAGCAATTGCCCATATCTTTGTCAATTTTTGAGTAAATTGAAATAAATTATACATCATTGAAAAGAGCATTAAATTCTCGATAAATCCGTGCAAAATTAAGTTTGATCGCTCACATAGTTTTTGAGTAATTGAGCCGCAAAGTTGATTTTTAGTCAAAATTTTGTCAAAAACTTCAAATTTAATTTACTCAAAAACTGTAAACCTGGGAATATTGTAAATTACAGGTTTTTTAAAGCTTATTGAGAGCTACAAATGCTAAAAATTTTAAAGCAATTTGTTCAACGGTTACCGAGCAATTGAGGTTTGAATATTTTGAAAACAGAATTCAAAGGGGGTAGTATCCTTATGAAAAACTAGATTTTTTTATTTTTCACTTTTGCTCAAGTTTAACTTTACCAATCGATAGAGCGTGTCAAAATTAGTGGAAAACAACCCTCATATTATTTTCAAATGGCCATTTCAAATAGAAACAAAAACAAGAAGGCAATCTTATTTTTGGCTCTGGAAAATTTTCAAAATTTTGACATGTCTTGAGCAATTGCCCATATCTTTGTCAATTTTTGAGCAAATTAAAATAAATTATACATCATTGAAAAGAGCATTAAATTCTCTATAAATCCTTGCAAAATTGAGTTTGATCGCTCACATAGTTTTTGAGTAATTGAGCCTCAAAATTGATTTTTAGTCAAAATTTTGTCAAAAATTTCAAATTCAATTTGCTCAAAAACTATAAACCTGGGAATATTGTAAATTACAGGTTTTTTAAAGCTTACTGAGAGCTACAAATGCTTAAAATTTTAAAGCAATTTGTTCAACGGTTACCGAGCAATCGAGGTTTGAATATTTTGAAATCAGAATTCAAAGGGGGTAGTATCCTTATGAAAAACTAGATTTTTTTATTTTTCACTTTTGCTCAATTTTAACTTTACCAATCGATAGAGCGGGTCAAAATTAGTGGAAAATAACCCTCATATTATTTTCAAATGGCCATTTCAAATAGAAACAAAAATAAGAAGGCAATCTTATTTTTGGCTCTGGAAAATTTTCAAAATTTTGACATGTCTTGAGCAATTGCCCATATCTTTGTCAATTTTTGAGCAAATTGAAATAAATTATACATCATTGAAAAGAGCATTAAATTCTCTATAAATCCGTGCAAAATTGAGTTTGATCGCTCACATAGTTTTTGAGTAATTGAGCCTCAAAGTTGATTTTTAGTCAAAATTTTGTCAAAAACTTCAAATTCAATTTGCTCAAAAACTATAAACCTGGGAATATTGTAAATTACAGGTTTTTTAAAGCTTATTGAGAGCTACAAATGCTAAAAATTTTAAAGCAATTTGTTCAACGGTTACCGAGCAATTAAGGTTTGAATATTTTTAAATCAGAATACAAAGGGGGTACCCTTACGAAAAACTCAAATAATTTACTTCCAATATTGACAGCGCTGTTTGCAATATTTGATTTCCATTTTTCTTGTTTTTCTCTTTTACCTGTTATTTGTTTCCTTTCTTTTCCTTCACAATCAGTGACTTTGTTTCATTTACTCTACCAATATTTTAAATCTGAATAAATCGTGATATCGATTTCCTAGTCCAGCTCTAATAATAATGACCCACTTTTATAGTTTCGTTTTGCAATACTTAAAAAACGAAAAAAATATCGTAAACTCTCGAGTTTATCGCCAGTTTAGGCCCAGCTTTCCGTGTTTTATTAGCGTCCGAATTTAGTTTCTCTTTGGAGAAAAATCTTAGAAATAATTGAAGAACCTCTCTAGTTTCGACTGAAACTTAATTTCAAATTTCCTGCCGCATTTACAGTGAAATAAATTATTCCTCTAGAATTAAATTGTTTCAGTTGATAAGAACAAAAAAGCTTGTTAAGCCATAGATATATTTAGCCCAATAAGAAACTCCAATTGAAAAACTTTTTGATGTCAGAGGTACATTGGAATTTCCTTTGTCTTTGTACCTTGAAGTCTGCAGAAAAGAAAATTGTGAAATTTACTTGGCTTCTAAACTTATATAACGTCATTTTCAATGTAACGTTATAAATTGTATCATATTTCATATTTGTAAAGTGTTTTATTCTTTTCCAGAGGAATGGATGGTCCCTAATAGATCAAATGTCACCACCCCTATCGGGAATATTACAGTGTCGGCAGGAAGGGAGGCTGTTTTCAACTGTGTCGTTAATATTACTGGGCGTTATAAGGTAATTTAACTTGTGATATCATCAAACCTTGAATTCATTTACAATGTTTCTAAAATAATTTAAAATAAACAAAAGCTATTTGCTGTACAAAATTTGATAAATTAACGGAAGTAATTAAAATTGTAGACAATTTGTACCAAATTGTGCCGGTTCAGTTAACGTTAATAATCGCATGGTGGTTATTTGCCAGAAATTTTATCTTTCTATTGGGGCTAAATTTACAAAATATTTTTTTGCTTTAGTCTATAGTTTTTTACATTTGAATAGCTTTTAATTTATGAAAGAGCTATTTAGCAGAAAAATGTATTTTGATTCAATTAGAAAAGTAGTTATGATTACCTATATGAAAATATATTTTTACAATAATTGATTTTTCTCTTTTTGTTCTCAATTTATCAGTGTAGTCCAAATTCCCAGCCTCATTCGTCAGATGGGTGGGTTAATCTAACTAATTAGATGGTCCGACGGTTGACGTCAACGTTGTTTAGCTCAATCCCTATAGGATTAAACCGGGCCTATATTTTAGGTTAATTATAAATAGCTCATTATTTTGCTTGAAATTGTTTAATTTTGAAGTTTGTTTTATCGTTTATAATTTAACAGATTTTCATTAACTGGTGTTGTGTGAAATCTTCTTGATTCGAATTATTTGAAAATCGTTTAATTTTGATGTATTTTATCATATAATGCTCCTGTAGTAGTTTTATGGGTATTGACATATTCTGTAAATACTTGTGCTAGTATTAATTGCATTGGATCACTTGAAGATGTGTGTCCTAGTACTAACTCGTAAGGAGTAAAATTTGTACTCGAATGTATTTTACTGTTATAAGCAATAACCGCACATGACATTAAATTTATTATGTCAGTATTGTTATGCTTTTCTCGTGAAATTCTTATATGTTCTATCAGAGTTGAAATAAGTCCATTGGATTCATGATGACTAGGAGTAGTGAAATTTATTTTAATATTGTGAGTCTTTAAAAGATCACAAATAACTTCATTTTTAAATTCTGTTCCATTATCAGAAACAATTAATTTAGGAACACCTATAAATGAGACAAAATAAATCGAACTTTGACATGCTGATATAGCTGTGCCAAAATATGGAAGGGCTTGTCCAAATTTAGAGGATTTGTCAAGGATTAGGTTTAACTCCGTCTTTTGTTATGACGTGTTCAAGAACTTCTTTATGTAAAAATTCTGATTTGTCGAGTTATATCTTATTCACGTAATACATTATTCATTACCCTTTGAAACGTAGCAGGTGCTTTTTTTAAAACCGAATGGCATTCTTTCAAATTCATAGTGCCCTATATCCTCCATTTCAATTTGATGAAAACCATTTGCTAAATTCAGCGTTGTTATCTAATATGTCAGCAATGTTAGGTAATGGGTATTTGTCTTCTATGGTCTTGTCATTTAATTTTCGATAATCAATTACTATACGCCATTTCTTTTTTACCTGATGCGTCTTATTTTTTAGGTACTATTCAAATTGGACTAGACCAAGGTGAATTATTTCGTTTTTTAACATTTGATGCATTAGGCACTTTAAACCACGTGACATTCAAGATGGCGTGGCGGCCACACATGGACCAAAAAACACAAAAAAATATCTAGTTTCTGCCCGATTTAATAATTTAGGTACCTAGTCAACAAATATTTTATTAAATAATCAAAATCAAAGCTGCAAGCAAAATAATTAAAATACGCATAAACACATATATTTAAAATAAACTTGCTTGGCCGCCACGTCATATTGAATTTTCCATTTTGACAAATGGATTAAATTGCCTAATTTGGGTATTAACCTCTTTTTTATGAATTTTTGGATATCTGTATGTTTTCGTAAAGACTAACAATTCGTTGGTCAGATTAATCTCATCTTTAATTTGATTTGTGAAAGTCATAGTGCATTACCAGAATAATGACCAAATCTGTGAATCAGGATCTTCAAGTCTTACTACCAACTGCATGTGATAGTTAAGATTATTGATAAATGTTTTCAAACACAAATCTTCAAATTGTTGAATTTTTAATAATTTCACATTGACAGGATCATTGGAATTATTAAGACTTCTAGCGTCTTGTAATTTCAAACCAAAATTATGAGGAGATTAATTTTTATTTAATTTCATAGTTAATACTTCTTGCATAAGGCAATTTTCAGATCTTTGATCGGAAAATGTGATAATTAAAGAATCTTTCATTTTTTGCCATGTCAAGCTCTGTTCAAGATGCAATTAAATCTGCAGCTCTACCTGTTCATTTTCCAATGACAATATTTTGATGATTTTGAAGCAAATGGTCACATGATTTGATAAATCTACTTAAGGTTTCAGTATTTCCATCAAAATGTGGAATATTATCAGCTTGGTATTTGATTAAATGATAGTTTGGATTAGCCATATTGATTTGTTCTTTAAATAAATTATTTATTACTAAGTTTTCAAGAAAACCTGCTAAGTCTTTTTTTTCGTTATTACGTTCCAGTTTTTTAAAAATGATAAAATAATTGTTTACACTTACAGTATGATAGACACAACCTTGGTTTAACTTAGCTGCTTATAGACTTTGGACGATGCTTGTTCCTCTATCCGTACCAATAGGGCTGATGGACGATGCTTGTTCCTGTCCCCTAGTCAACTCATCTATAGACTTCGGACGATGCTTGTTCCTGTGTATGTACCTTAGATTGTCGGACGATTTTTGTTCCTCAATCCACGGCCCCATGAGCTCAGTCGAACGTTATAAGTGTTTTTTTATTAAACACGAACGATTTTCGTTAGACAGTTAATCGTTAACACGAAAGGTCAATTTTGGTTTTTCGACGACCCGTAAAAAAAATTTCAAGCTAAACCGGGACGCACTTTCGAAAACGCACTTTGACTCTGCCTTATCCTACCGACTGCGCCAGTTACATGACTGATAAACAGAAAACCCTTTTTAAAAAACTTTATTATCTTAAGGACCGTACAAATGAACTAACTAAATTCTAATCCTAGATTCCTTTATATCCTTAATATTAATATGCTGATATAAGTAATGGCGTAATGCGGGGGTTTAGTGGAACATAACTAAGTGGTAAATAGCCAGAGTTACCAAAAATAAATAATTATATTCACGTCTTGCTCTCATAATTACATTGTAGTATTCCGCCCGCTAGGCGGCGTTCACGTATCGGTACCAAGCTGAAAAAACTAATATATCCACTCCCTTCGCACATCCCCTGTGTTCCTTGTCTTTAGTTTTTAATTTACGTGCGTTAGGTTCGGTCGTTCGTGTTTGTCGGTATCCGTTGCTCGTAGAAAAATGCGGAGTTCTCCAGAGTTTTCGGCAGAAAATTATTCTTCGGATGATAGTTCGTGTCTGGATTACAAAATATTGAAAAATAAGCGTCTAATTAAAAGGCTTAATCGGGAAAACGAACGTATTAAGCGCGTTAAAAATGGGCGAAAGCGCCAGGATCGAGTTTTGGTGGCCCGGCACGTAAACTTTGCCGGCACAGAGCGCCACCGCATCGCCAGTGTCGCCGTTCCAGCAAAAGAAAGCGAGATATATCACCATTTTCGTCGTGTACCTCTTCGTCACGAACGTCCTCTCCAACGTCGAAATTCCGACGTATCCATGTGTTAGACAGTGACACAGAGAGGGATGTTGAAAGTAAGTTACTTGTTTCTCCTTAATCCTAGTGAGTAAAATCATCTAGAAGGTCATGAATATGACGTATAAATCGTTGGAGACTGGATTGGTACTGATTCTTGATCAAGAATCTTACTTATGTCATGAGCATGACTGTTGTTCTCCTTCAGATTTTGTTCTGGTTATAGCTTCCTAAGAAAATTTAACAGGTACCTATGTATTGTTTTAGATAAGACGGAGAAGGTTGCCCCCGATAAGTTGAATAAAAATATTTTATCCATACTGCGTCAGGAACAAGAAGATGTTATTTTTGCACCTCCTCTCCACAAGGAAATTGCGACCCAATAGGAATTGCTATTTAGGAAGGGTATGAAAGGCGTATCCTAATGGAGAAGTATCACATGCCTCAAAATTGTCCTTCTGCAACGTCCCCTAAGCTAAATTTAGAGGTTAAAGCAGCTATCAATGAAGTGTCTCTTAAAAGAGATGAGCGACTGGAAAAAGTGCAAGCTCAGATGGGAACCAGTCTAGCTGCCTTAGGAAAAGCTCTTTCCATGTTGATAAACAGAGCAGAGTCATTAAGCGAAACAGATGATCAGCTTTTGGAAATCATCGAGGCTGTTAGTGATGGAGCCAAATTTCTAACGGATATCCATCATAATCAATCCGTTTCAAGACAAAATATAGTTAGTGTCAATCTTGATAAGAGCCTCAAAAGCTTGATCGAAAATACTGATTTTGATGGCTGGTTATTCGGAACGAATTTGAGCAAGAGATTGGAACAAGAAAAACAAATAGTCAAGTCAGGAGAGGAATTGAAGCTTAAGGTGGTACCACAAAAAAAAACCGAGAATGGATTCAAAAACTCCCAATATCCTCCCTTCCGAAATTTTGCCATCTAACCCCACTTTTTGCGTTTCCATATCTAAATTTTTTAATTTGCCGTCACAACAGTGATCACGTGACCAATGTCAAAATGTACTTTTAGGTTATTGGACATGCAGGCTCGATCGCACATAAGAAAAAATTCCGCATACTACAAATAAAAAATTTCCCCATGTGTAGCGAACATTATGTGGGACACTGTATAAACCTCAATACCTACTAAAACGATGAAATTTCAATTTTTTCAACTCTATTGAACACTGAAACTCTGGATCCAATTAACAACATGAAAACAGGTTCTACTGCCATATTATATGATCTCAAGAAATACCAAAAATCTTTGAAAATAGATTAGAGCCGCTAGACCTAGTGACTAACTATACAGGGTGATGTATGTAGCCTGTGTAATAATGGATGGATTAGATAATATACTGATAGGTACTACTCCACCTGCAAAATGGAATACTTCTAATGCACGAGCTACGAAAATCATTATACTTCAATCCACCTGCAAGCAGGGCCGGCTTAAGGGGGGCGCGAAGTGGGCAGCACGATCCAGTGGCGGCAAATTTATACCATACATCAAAAAAAAATTGATAGTGAATAAAACCAACGACAATTAAGAACTATAAAATTGAACAGCGGACTAATTATATAAGGTGTCAACATATTGAACAATTAAAAGAGCACAGTGGGCATTTTAACTTCTTATATGATATCCTTTCACTACGAAAATATTTTAAATATTATCCTAATAATTTTATTGAAAATGTAGGTACTTATAGCATGGTATGATGGCCGTTTTTTCAAAGTCAGTTTAATGTCGAAACGTCGGAAACTACTGTAGGAACGTAGGCCGTTTTTAAAACCAATAACAACAAACGTCTCAAGATTGTTTTTTAAGTAGATTATGTCCATTTCAGAGTGTTTTTCAAAAAGGTGTAAAAATGATGTTCTTTAGACGTATCATTTAAGATATTTTTAAAACCTCACGTCCATTTTCGACGTCTATGATGTTTGAAGTTGTAACATTTGCTCTAAACATAAAGGTCTTTTGGACGTTCTTAGTCACTTAAACTGACGTTTTTGGAACGTTCTGACATCCGATCGGATACGTTTTTGAAACGTTTCTGTGCTATTAGGGTATCTATACAGGGTGTCACAAGGGGTTTTACCCAGGTGATAATTCCGGAACGCGTCATCGAATATTTCACTAGTGTAATTTATTATCATTTTCTTTAACAAAGCCTTAACAAATATGGCATTGCCGATTTGGTAATTTAATTTCGAAAAATGCCTTAATATACCATAAATAAGTTACATTTAAGATTCTGAAGTTGCCGTCACTTCAAACTGAAGCGGAAGTGATGAAATTGGATGACATATGTAGAAGCGGCACAAAAAGTTACCTAGATTTTCAAAATTTCAATTATATTGTATGACGCGTTCCAAAGTTATCACTTGGGTAGAACGTCGTGGGACATCCTGTTTACCTTCCTTTATCCCTACATAATGTATTTGTTGATTGTTGCGAAGAATTTGAATTGGATTAGTTTTTTTTTTAATACCTAACACATGATAAAGTATGTGGTTCTATCAATGACTTCTATTGATATGAAGCTATGACTTATTCTTTCGTGTTAATATTATGTTGTTTCTACAATTAAAAATAATCCTCAATCTCACATTTTCCTTCAGCGGGTCATGGGATGAAGCGGCAAATTTACACATTGCCCAGGCAAAACACCTAGAGCCGGCCCTGCCTGCGAGTTAATACACAGGCTACATAATACATCACCCAGTATATAGCATCTAATACACAGGCTACGTAAATCACCATATATAAATTTGAAACTACTCACATACTCAGGAAAATAGCGAGAATGCTTTTATAGGGTATTGTTGCACCTGTCATTAAATGATTTGCTCTGTTTTGTTTAGATCTAGATTGTTTACATTATTAATTTATAAAAAAAACACTGATAATGAAGGGGACAAAAACACAATGCGGAGTTTAAGTGGTAAATAGCCAGAGTTAAGAAGGATATGAATCATAGTCGGTATTAATTACCTATTACCTGTCAAAAGATGAATGTGGAACTCGATGTGGAACCCCTTTCGAAAAACTCAATTTGAAGCAAATTTTTTCATATTTTCAACTCATAAAAGCCATAAGTGCCCTAAAACCGTACCAATTAAAAAAAAAAATTGGACACAATGTTGATACATAAACCTGTCAAACATCATCAGAAAAAATTCTTTCATATTTTCAACTTATAAGGACCATAAGTACCCTGAAACCCTACCGATTTTGAATCAAATTATTCACTATTGGAAAGAGTATTAAATTCTCTATAAACCTGTGTTAAATTAAGTTTGATAGCTCGAATACTTTCTGAGCAATTGAGCCTCAAAGTTGAATTATAGTCCATGAAAATGGAAAAAATTCGTTTTCAAGTCCCAAATCCACTTGTAATTTATATATCTTGAAGTATTTGAAATATTTTCTCATACGATTTCTTCAAACATCGGCATGGAAAAAACTCTTAAATTTATTTTCTAGCCCTCTTAATCCATTTCCAGATTATTTTGTTCTTACAAAACAGACAATAAACTCTAAAGACTTGAAATTTAAATTAGAAACAGTCTAAAAGCTTATTTGGGAATATTTATATTATTTCAGAATCCCTTCCAGTAAAAAAATATACCAAATTTAGAATCAAATTAAAGATTTTTCTTCAGTTTATATTAAATGGTACAATCATAATACATCGTCAAAACCCTAATCAAAAACTTTTCAAGGTGTGTATCCGAAATCCTCACTTATGCCCAGAAACAACAATCCAGGGGATGTTATTAAAGCCCCAGAAAAAACTTGGAAAGTTGTTTTTTGGGCCGGTCGGATGTATTTCCATTAAGGCGGAAGGACAAAAGCGTGTTAATATACTTTTTGTAGCCATTTATCATTTTATGTCAATGCGTATAATCCATTATTCATTTTCATAATTTTATTTATTCAGCTAAATTTTTAATGCATCATATGCAATTTGTACTGACTTGGGTGTTAATTTATGCAATTAAAAATACATTTGAATGATAATAAAATGGGACAATTGGGTGTCATACAAATTGTACAACGATGTAATAACAAAAAATTGAATTATATATTATAAAACCACGCATAGAATATTAACAAATGATTTTCAAAATAAATATTTTAAATGAAATTTTCTGTTTTAGGTCGCTTGGGTCCGTGCCGAAGACCAAACGATTCTGAGTATAGGAACCAAAGTGGTCACACATAATAGTCGCATTATGGTCACTCATGACAACTTGCACACTTGGCAAATGCGCATAAAACAAGTCAAGGAATCAGACAGGGGATGTTATCTTTGCGAAGTCAATACGAATATAATGAGGACTCAAGAGGCTTGTTTGGATGTTAATGGTAAATAATTATGAATCTGTAACAAAACGCACTCAAGTACTCTATTTAATTAGTTAGAGTGTATTTATGGTGTTTATTTTCTTGAGTGGCTACCTATAAAATTGTGGAAGGGGTCTATTCGCAAAAGAGAGAAACAAACTATTGAGGTTTACTAAATTATATTTTATTATACTTAAAACCAAAAATTTAAATAAGCAAGTATCTTTCTATTCTGACAGCCACTTATATTTTTCTCAAATCAAATTATTTCACATCCGTACCAATTTCATTACTACGGATCAGGAAATATCCATACAAAAAAATAACGCCCTACTTCTTCTATTCTTAATAACCTATAAGTTTATACATCACATCACTTCAGATTCACACTCCTATTAAAACTACCTTTCACCTATATCTATAAATTCTTGAAATTCCTAAGTCCTTCACTGACTGCTTATGCAAATAATTATTCCAGTCATAATGCGACTCATTGGATTGAGTATATATATGTATTATCAACTATATTTTTATAAAAAACCTTACAATAATTTGTAAATGAAAAGATCCTAATTTAAAATTTCAGCACTTAAGGTCAACAATCTCATTCCATGAACAAGTTTCTTGTCAAAATTTCCCATTACATTCAATGATTTATTTTTTTACTAAGGATCAATTTAAATAGAACAATTACTATTTTCGGATTCCTAGCCAGCAAACACAATTCTTATTATTTCGTTACTTCAACTTCAATTGGACAATCCAATTCAAAATTCTTTAATAATTCCTACTCAAAATCGATACTTGTTGAGTGCATTATAAATTCCCCCTTTGCAAAATTAATTATAATGTCATTTTACTCGAAGGCAATTAAAGTTATGCAATAATATTCCATAGTCAAAACACTCGAGTTATTAATATTTACGCAATAAAGTTCCAAAGTTAATTCACTTCATACTCATTCATCATTAAAACTTGTCATTATAGAGTACTTACATTTTGTCCATAAAACACAAACCTAATCTTATTTAATTCTTTTGATTACTTAGAGCTCGCACATAATGTTGAATGACTTTAAATTTTCTTTCTTTCACAATTTTCTGTACTTTTAGATTCGAAATAAACACGTTTTTCCGAGGCAATAAAATAAAAGAAACTCTTCACGAATTTTATCCGAACTGGATTGCAGGCTGAAGACTAACAACTGGACTGAACTTAAACTCAACTCAACTCAACTGCCCTCCACTTCTAAAACCGCTGTATTTATCTTTTTCGATTCCCCCCAAAATATTATTAATTACCAATCAAAATCGACAATGGGCGGTCGTTTGACCATCTATAATTTAATTCTATTGGTCGACCACTCGACCTAGATATTATTCCAAAAACTAATTTCATCATTTTTAGAGGATGATGCAATCTGTTCGAAATTTTTGTCATTTTGGGTCCAATTTAATTAGGTGCTTAACCTTGTAATTGATCTCTTCCGGGTTTTTATTTGTTTAAAATCGAATAATTATGTCGCAATTTCCTGGTTATCGGGGTCAACATATTTCGTATAAGAATATGAGGACAACTCAAAGAAAACCGACAAACATGTGCGGGCCATAAATCACCTATTCAATTACTTTGGCCTCGCTTTTAATAAATTCATTGATTTGATTTAGGAGATGACATCACGCTTGGTGACTAAGTAATAAAATTTTAACGTATATAAATAATTTAATTAATTTAGGGTCAACGCTAATTTGTTTCATTTTCCATTTATCGATACTGATTTGAAATACCGGAAATTCAGTTTTTCATTATTTGATTACATTTAATTTTTACAGTACAGTATTTTTCCGGGTCATTACAAATCTATAGTTTTCAATAATAGAGAAACTTTCCTTTATGTTCCACTCAATTCTGTACAAACGAACAAAAATTTTATAGTTAATATCAGGTATTGGTAATCTTTACAAGTTGTATTATTGTTCCCATTTATAAAATGTCTTTTAATATGAATTCTATAGGAAACGTGAAGCAGGAAAAATCCTTTTTTTTTTGTATACATATTTTCTCCCCGTTTATATTTTGTGCAGAAAGCAAGATAATACTTGAACTTCCCTTTACCCTAGGGTTGGTAATGATCTTTGCATATTCTCGGAGTGAAAGTTCCGTCCCATTGTTTTGATTAATGAATAACTCCCCTGCGTGACTTTACAAGTTTTTTCGTATCTCGTTAAAAACGCATTGAAAACGTTGAATAAATAGTTCACACAAATCCCTTGTTATAGATGACTCCCATTTGAAATAACTTTCAAATTGAAATCGTGAAAACTTTTAGAGCATAAGAAATATTCCCATTTTTATATGCATTTACCCACCACGTATGTCTCGGTTCTTTCACAGAAACGGGTTGCATAAAAGCCATTTTTACGCTATTTCGGTAAATCAGCCCCAAAGAGGGGATCACTTTATTGCTGACAGGCTGTCGCTTTTGAATTTTAGCATTTTTGAGAAACGTAAACTGTTTATACAAAAACTTCACTTTGCAAACGGAATATGTAAAATTTCAAAAATTCTAAATTTCTTGATGAATCATCAAAACAACAATCCTCATCTAAAGAAAATATACTAATCGGATCATCTCTAATTGTTCAGCCAATCAAGAGCCTGTAATGATTCAAATTTTGATTGTTACTGGTTTCTTGAATTGCTGAATTATTTTTCAAAAACCAATCAAAGACCCATAACAGTCTAAATATTTATTATTATTGGTTCTTGATTTGCTGGACATTTTTTAAAAAGAATATCTACCAGTTATGAGTGTTCCAATTTTGATCATTACTGGCTCTTGATCTTCTCTGAAAAAATTGTTCAGCCAATCAAGAGCCTGTAATGATTCAAATTTTGATTGTTACTGGTTTCTTGAATTGCTAAATTATTTTTTCAAAACAAGTCAAAGACCCAGAACAGTCTAAATATTGATTGTTATTGGTTCTTGATTTGCTGGACATTTTTAAAAGGAAAATCTACCAGTTATGAGTGTTCCAATTTTGATCATTACTGGCTCTTGATTTTCTCTGAAAAAATTGTACAGCCAATCAAGAGCCTGTAATGATTCAAATTTTGATTGTTACTGGTTTCTTCAATTGCTGAATTATTTTTCAAAAACCAATCAAAGACCCAGAACAGTCTAAATATTGATTATTACTAATTTTTGATTTGCTGAACATTCTTTAAAGAAGTTGAGAGTCCAAATTTTAATCATTACCGTCTCTTATTTTCCAGCAAATCAAAAGCCTGTAATAATTAAAATTTTTAAAAATTGATGTAACATATAATAATTGATTGGCTTTATCTATAATAAATTTCAAGTATCGATCAATCATTCGGGATTTTTTTCGTAATATAATCGTCTAAACTCAAGATTTATCTGGAGACCTGAAAAACTTTCCCATCTGTGCTGCCGCTGCTGTGTTCTCTTCAACTTTATTCTCGAAGGCAAGTAAACAAGCCAAAAGTTCAAAAGTTATTACAGAAGATATTATAACCATATTTTATGCGAGCTCTGGGGAGAGATGGGTATTTATCGGATAACAAGAAAATAAACTGCTATTATTTCCCCTCAAGAAACTTGACTTTTCAATATACATTTTACAAGACCTGATTAATTAAACGGAAGAAATTGAGGCTGTATTTTAACCTTAAACCGTCACAATGTTAAGGCTGTAGATTATCCACCCCTTAATTTGCAGGTCGACCTTTCCGTATATTATTAAGCAGCGAGAAAATCCACTTACTAAAGGAATTGCTGATTAGATTTAACAAAAAACTAATACACGATAATGCACTTTCAAAATCCTTTTATACTTCTTTGGGAAAACTTCAATAACTGGAATTTTTCAAGGCTTTGAATGAATTTTGTATTTTAATTTTTAGTCCCTCCCGATATACTGAACGAAGACACAAGCGGCGATTTGTCGATATCGGAAGGCGAAAATGCTACATTATGGTGTAGAGCTTCTGGACATCCTCAACCGCGAATACTTTGGAAAAAGGAAAACGGCGAACCTATTTTCATCAGGCGAAGCTTTAGGAATTTCACTAAAGGTATGTTATATAGTTTTTAATTAAAATGTTGTCTCCTTTGAGAAAGAGAACCTTTGCTTTTAATGTTGGAACAAAATAATATTCTTGAGAAGCAAAACATTATTTCAATCACATTAAGTTGCTCAAGCAAAATTTCTGCACAACAACGATAATATATTCGAAATGATCCTCGCCTCGCCCAGGGAATAACTTTCTCAGTTTCAGGCGAGAACTGCTAGTGATTGCATTAACTCTCAACTCAAAACTTTGTTATGCAACTGCTTTATATTCGTTCCGAAGTAACTCTATATAATGCCCAGAACCAAAATGTATATGTTTACTTGACAAACAATTTTACAGCAGGTGAAAAGTTTTACGACATAATTGGGAAAAACTACCGCCCCATTAAAAATTGTGTGACAAATTTACTAGAGGGAAAAATATTGCAAGGGCGGAAACGCTTTCACACGACCGGATCGCCAATTTCGCCCCTGCCAACATGGAAAGAAAATAAATCCTCGAACGCGTGTTCTATGGTGTAATGTACCGGTTACTCGTAATAATTTAGCTTTTGTATTTTCTAGTCGTGTCACGTAGCTAGGCTTTGATGGTCTGGCCACCAAAGCATACATAAATCGATCCAGAATTTTTACACATTGTTTGCATAATCTTCATTACAACTTTACAATTATTGTTGCCTAACTTTTTTTGTTAATTCACTAGACTATGATATACCGTTTGTTTTTTTATTTCAGTTGAAACTTATAATGGAGCCAATTTGAATTTCTGGAAAGTGGATCGCACACAGATGGGCACTTATTTGTGTATAGCAAGCAACGATGTACCTCCAGCAGTGAGCAAGCGAGTCTTACTTTATGTGAACTGTAAGATTTATTTGTTCATTTATAAAGAATTGTCTTCTTAAAGTTCCAAGTTACTTCAATTGAATAGAAATAAAAAACTTCTACGTTATTTCCCAAAAATTTCTGTTACTCAAAAAAGTTTAGGATATAGTTTGAGCTACAAAGTATCCAAATTTGAAGAAGATTGAATCAGAATCAATAGAGTTATGATGCATTCTATTTCTACAGAAATCTAATTTGTTTCTTCAAACTTTCTGACAGACAAGGACCAAACCGAACAAATAAGAATAAGACAGAGAAGTCAGACAAAACAGACATGACAGATAGGCAATCTTGTCTCAATTTCTAAAACGGCTTTTTGAGAATCTCACTTGATTTTAATTTACAGAACTCAAATTTTCCAAGATTCTTGATTTTACAATCTTCCCTAGGTTGAAAGTAAGTATAATCCTAATAGAGATTGGCATTTGTTCTTGTATCGAGAAGTTCTATATTCATTACAGTTTTTCCTGGTCTACCTTGGTTGAATAAAATGGTTAAAAATATCCCAAAGATTAGGTCTTCAGCTGTAACATTCTGCAAACCTTTAATTACCAAAAAGTCCATTAGATTGAAGATATGTATAGATCTTTTGATGATTTTATACCAGTAGAGTCAAAGTCGTTGAAGGTTTTCCTGAGAAGATCCAGAAATACCTTTTACAACAAATTAAAAATTTTAAATTCACCCAGAAATGATTTTCAAAATCAAATGAGCAAGGACTGTAGTCCTTTACTGGAATAAGAATTGCTGAAAATTTCAGCTTTCTATCGTTCATAGAAAAAAAGTTATGACCTTTCAAAGTTTTCCAAAATCTAAATCATAATCCTTACTACTAAAACGATGACATTTCAAATTTTTCTTTGTTGAGATTTTGTGTCCTAATGGTCCTTCGGGATCCCCCAAACTCCAGACACTAAATTATTCTGAGATTTGGAGCCGGATTCTATGAAAAAAGGCACTCAGAAAAATTGAAAAATTGATAAATCATCCCAACATGCTAATCACGGTTTTATTTCTGAAACTATAAGTGCAAATGAGTTGAAATTTCCAGGGATTGTAGTCCTCTATTGGGATAAAAATCGCTGAAAATTCTAGTTTTCTATCTTTAACAGAAAAAAAGTTATGACCTTTCAAAGTTTTCCAGAACCTAATCAGCTACCTTAGTACTAAAACGATGGAATTTCAAATTTTTTGTTGTTGAGATTTTGTGTCCTAATGGTCTTTTGGGATCCCCCAAACTACATACACTAAATTATTCTGAGATTTGGAGCCGGATTCTATGAAAAAAGGCACTCAAAAAAATTGAAAAATTGATAAATCATCCCAACATGCTAATTACGGTTTTATTTCTGAAACTATAAGTGCAAATGAGTTGAAATTTCCAGGCATTATAGTCCCCTATTGGGATAAGAATCAGCTTTCTGTTGCTTTCTGTTTATAATAGAGAAAAAATTAACACCTTTCAAAGTTTTCCAAAATCTAAATCATAAGGTAGCTCATTTGACATGAAGATTTTTAAGGATTTCAATATCCAGAAGTCAAAAGCGTATCCACTATGGATATTTTTTTCTTGGTCTTTCAAAGTATAGCTTCTTGACTGATCAAAATATACATTGGATCCTTTGGGTATTAAAAATGGTTATTAGTTATCTCAATATGATCCAGAAATGTATACAATACCACTAATTAAAGTTTTAAAAATGTTGCAAGATCGATTTTTCATCAGTTTATTGAAATTTTTGATGTCTAGGCTTGTAGAATATTCCAGAATGAAGATTTTCGAGATCCAGAAATCGAAAATTGCTACTTGCAATGCTTAGCCAAGTAGTTCAAGAAAATGTCTGCTCCAATAGACTAAAATTCGATTTTTTCATCCTTTGGATTCTTTTCCAGGTTAGTAGTACAATCTTAAAGAAATGTTTCCAATTATTTCGATACTCAGCAGCATTTTTTTTGATAAGATCCAGAAATGTTTTTCAAATTCATTTAAAATTCATAAAATATTTACACTTTCCTCTGAGGAATATTGTTCCTGCTAAAGACAGAGCAATCTTGTGGATCTTTTGGACATTTTCTACCATTTTATTCAACCAATATTGCAAAGTGTATAATGCCACTTTGCAACGATGGAAATTCCTAGAATTATAAACATAACATTTTTAAAAGGAAATGGATCGTGAAGTTCTAGTATTTCCTAAGAGAATTTATTTGAAATTTTTTAATTTTATTTAATTTCAATCCAGCGCATTAACATTGTAATCTTAGTTTTACAATGTCACAAGTTTGTTCTTTAATTTGTTCATAATTCAAGAGGATATGATACAGGTGACATTGGAAATTGAAAAAATTTAATTTAACCGTCGTAATGCATATAATGCTCAAATAGATGTAAAATTAATATCACATATAAAGTTCAATTACGAACTGTATTATTTGAACTTTTAAATTGACATCGGATCGCAATTTATGCTTGATTAATAAACTTTTTTCATTTGGCAAACATGTCATATGCGACTTTAAATGCAGTGAAAATATCGAGCCCGCATATCCGAGAGGGAAAAAAAAAACTAATGGAGACCCAACTAGCAAAATCCATTTGTTCGGTAAATAATCTACTAATGATATGTTTGATTGTCGGACCTTTTGTTTGCTAAAATATACATCACACTTGTATGTAATTTGACGATAAATCGATTTTCCATTGTGAAAAGGTGTTTACATAAATATGAACTCGAATCGGTTAGTTATTTAATTAATTGAAATTAGGTATAAACTTACAATCCCATCATCATATTCATCAAACATCAAAGGCTCCAGGCATCAGCCATTATTTAATTAACAACGTCCTCAATGCTCCAGAGGTGATTTATTATGACAACACAAAGCAAGGTACGCATCCATTGAATATTCCCATGAAATGTGGCTTTGTTGTCCACCAAGAAATATTGATATAAAATTTAATGAATAAGTTAGTACCTGACTTAAAGTTTGTCATTGTCTAAATTAGAAACTATTTACTTGAAGTAAGTTTATTATTCATTAAATGTGTATCATTTTTTTGCATAGTCGATAAAATACATATATAAAAGCTCCATCAATCTTTATCATATTGTAATAATTGAAGGCGATTATTATTATTATTTAACAATCTATTATGTCATTGTATTTATTCTTATTACAACGACATCTAATATTAAAATCCATTTCTGATACAAAATTCCAAAATGGTAGGCAATATAAAATTAATCGCTTCTAAATGACTTTCTAAGCGACAGCGGTGCATGCTTTAAAACTTTAAATAATGAAAAACAAACTTCTCCAGAGAGAGCTGACTTCGCTAACTTTCCTTCATTTGTTACGTTTCGAATTAGAGAGTTTTTGATATGTACACTGTTGTTGGTTTTCAGTAGAAATACTGAGGTAGTAATTTATTAATATAGATGGTGAAATATTTTCATTAGGATGATCAGTACAGACGGATACGATAGTCACTTTATTGGTTATGATTATTGTATAATAATAATATATATATGACATCTCAGTAGGACTTATAATGGGGCTTTAATTTCTTTCAACATGAAATCTGTATGTTCAATAAGTGGACTGTATAAAATGTGCAATAAATTTACTTTCAAAGAGCACCAACTCAGAGCAAAATAGATATAAAATATAAAAAATTGAAGTCTTTCTGACAAAACTTAATGACATTAATCAAAATTATTAAAACTAAGAAAGGTGGCATTATCAGTGGCGTTACCACTATGTATTGGGCTAAACTGGCCTAAACAAAATCAATTGACGATAATAAGATTCAAGTTAAAGTCTACTAAGTATTTTCCAATTTACTTAAACTAAAACGTTATATTTTTTATATTCCAGACACCACATCGTCTGGATGTAAATCCAATTACCGGGGTCCCATCAGACACGAAAAGCCGCACAAAATACATTTTCTTTTCCTCCGACAGACCTAGAATTATTAAAACGTTGAGTAACATCTATTTCTAGTGGTCTAAAAATGAAAAGTATATACCTACAGCTTAGTAGGTCAAACAAGTTCAAGCGTTATTATTACGATTCTCCATGCATGGCTGCTAAAAGCCCTTATCTTCCTTCCTTAATATTCAGTTCCTAGATGGTTCTCCCCATTAAACATTTACCCGCCATAATAACGCGACACAATTTCTTTCTTAGTTTGGTCTAAATAGCGTGCGATAATATTCGGTTTTATTGCATCGTTTTTGAAAAATACGAGATGGGATCGTGCCCGAGTTTCAATTGAATTACAGATGGTTGAGTTTTATTGGGTAGGTTACAGTTAAAAATATTATTTTTATTGCTTATACTGGGGAAAATTCTGAATTTCTCACAACTTCTTTTAATTTATAATAGAATTTCAATCTCAACGTTTGATTTAAACATTTTCAACATCTGTGAAAGATCCTCATTAACGCCTGTTATATCAATTATACATAACGTACAAAATAATATTGTTATTGAAAAGCCAGTAGGTAGGAAATAAACAAAATTTTAATTTCTCGGCTCTTGATTTCTTCTGGAGAAGTTTTCTAGTGATTCAAGCACCGTTAATAATCAAAATTTGCAGCAGAAAAATGTTCTTATTCAAGATAATCAAAATGACAATCTTTACCGGCTCTTGATTTCCTTTGGAAACATTTCCTAGTGATTCAAAAGCCAGTAATGATCATAATTTCAAGTTTTTGGCTCTTGATTTCTTCTGGAGAAGTTTTCTAGTGATTCAATCACCGGTAATAATCAAAATTTTCAGCAGAAAAATGTTCTACCAATGATAATCGACATGAGAGTCTTTCCTGGCTCTTGATTCCCTTTGAAAATATTTCCTAGTGATTCGAGAGCCAGTAATAATCAAAATCACAACCTTTTTCAATGTTGTGTGAATTTAAATGCTATACAGCTATATCAGATTTGACTACAAAAATTTCAACACCTGAAAATATGGCCCATTTTGAACAAAAAAAAATTATACAACATGGGGTCCAAACTCAACCATTTTTAATAAAAAAGCCTTTGAGGTTTCGACATTTTTTGAAGAATATTTTAAAGATAAAGTAAATTTTAATCATTATTAGATGTAAACATATTTAGTTTATTCAATTATCAAGTAATTATACATTTTTAGTCAACAACAATTGAAAAAACAACATAAAAATTTCACTTGTAAATCGGTGTCTAAACATCTGGCAACATAGCACAATAAAGAATAGGTGGTTGAACGTTGAACCTTGGTTGAACTGAATAAAATTGATTCTTGATTTGTCTTGTCTAGTTGGAAAACGCGTGTAATTCAAATACATTCTTTTTTGAAAATAAAATGATCACAAACGTCGAATATGCAGATGCAGAGTTTAAACAGAATTGTTACAAAATGCTCATTTAGCCGCCAGAATTTACAGGGAAACTAGGGAAAGATTTCCCAAAAGAAAAGCACCCATCTGATGAAAGAACATTGTGCCTGTTTTACAAAGATTGCGTGATACAGGAAGTGTGGGTGTCCTGTTGATTTTAGTGTTTTGAGAACCTTTTAACAAAAATTAATATTTTCATAATAGGGATTTGGCAAGTAGCTGAGTAAGTATTATTTGATTTTTCTCTTGAATTTTTAGTGCAAAAATGTCATTGAGTGCAATTCACAGCTCAATAAAACAGAACATTTTTTATTTTTACTCTAAAAGTTATTATTTACATTATTTGACAGTTTTAGCTTGAAATGGGCCATATTATCTCATGTTAAAATATTTGTACTCATACCTGATACACCCTGTATACTAGGGTCAAAATAATATTAACTATCCAATTTGAATATTTTCCTTAACCAACATACTATTTATTCAGCACTAAAATAAAACAAGGAATATTTTAGTTGAACTCATTTAATTTCAAATTAAACACGAGTCTGGCTAATTTTGTGTTTATTCAATTTCATCCCTATATTATATTATTTTAGGCCTGACGAAATATTTGGTTTTAGTTAATCTCAACACTCATTATTAAACGTCAGCCGTTCAACTAAAGTTAATTATAATGTTAATTAAGTTTTCGCACCGAAATTTTGTGTGTGTGTGATAGATTTCTGGCAATAATAAAGAAATCAGACAGTTGAGAAACGACTTAATTCAAATGGGCGAGATTTCTTTCCTCGTTTCAAACCTCTTTTAGTTGAACGCTTTATGGAAATCTTTGCATTTTATGTAGATTTTAGGCCATATGAGTGTGATTCATTATTACTTATTGTTGTGTGTCAAAATCAATTTAAACTTTGTTAAACTAATCAGTTTGGTAATGAAATTAGGGTCTAATAGGCACTAACTGGTAGCTCCTCGGCCCAAATCAAAGGACCACTAATAATTGGCTTTGTATTAAGGGAAGTTTCCCTTTTCAGAACTTCGTCAAGACTCTGTGTTTGTTGAAATTTGATTAAATTATTTTGAGTGAGGTCCAAAACCTTTTCAGTCAATGTCATCTGTATCATATCCTCTTGAATTATGAACAAATTGAAGAACAAACATCTAACATTGTAAAACTAAGATTACAATGTTAATGCACCGGACGTATAATAAATAAAATTAAAAACTTTTCAACGAAATTCTCTTAGGAAATACTTAAAACTTTACGATCCGTATCCTTACAAAAATTTTATATTTATAGCGAGCTCCAAAATTTACTCTAGGAATTTCCATCAAAATATATGTGTTGCAAAGTGGCATCTTACACTTTGCAGCGAGTGTTGCAAGATTTTGAATTAATTTCAAAGCCCGGCATAGTTGACTTTCTAGGCTACGAGATTTACGTTATGAGACATCGTAAATTATATAGACTGAGATGGCGGTACATATTAAAAAAGAATGAAAATATTCAATTATGCTTCATGAAAAGCTTAAAGCAATAAACACGCAACAATGGAAGCAAAACTCATTGGCCATTTTCTTATTGGAAGCTCTTGTCTGTTAATTACCGAAAACTTTTCGCAAACTTTATCGCTATATTGCATGTGAAGCTTAATGGGCTTTGTAAAGTTGGTAAAACACGAATTGTAATTGTTAATTTTTCATTTATAGTTTCTCCAACAATTAAAGTACCAAATCAGCTACTTGGAGCACCACTTCAGACCGATGTCCAACTAGAATGTTACGTGGAAGCTTTTCCAAACACCATAAACTATTGGGTGAAAAATCGAAGCGAAATGCTATTAAATGGGTGAGTGAGTGTTTTTTCAATATTCAAGTTACCTTTTGCTCCGCTTCAAATAGAGTAAATCAAATTTTCCTATTTCAATATTCGCTTTGCTGCAACATTTCTCCCGCCCAAGGTTTGCGCATAATAATAAATAGTCGCTAATTTGTTTGCGTTTAATTAATGGAAATTGTCCGCCCGAAGGCGATGATTTAAAATGGTTTTCTCGAGGCGAACGACAGATGCATCTTTGTGGACGTAAAAATAAAATCACTGTAAAATGTACAACGGGAAAAGTGTCAGGCGAAAACATGTTAGTGGAAAAATATGTTTCGGTTTTACTCTCTGGGAGTTACCGCAAAATAAACTGAACAGGAGGCTTTGGAAAACATTTTGCGTTTGATTTGTAATGCATATGGAGTTTTTGTTGTTTTTGGATTTTGGCTCAGCAGGGATTCGAGTTTCTATTTTCGAATAAATTACCACCAACTTGCAATTTTCTAAATATAATTATTGTTGTAAATGTTATAAGTTTGAAAAATTGTACACAATCCTGCAACACTGTCTGATGACGAATAACATGCTATAAAACGGAGTCGGTGACAGAAAGACTGTCGGTAATACTTAAATTAGACGTTGAAGTGTGGATAGTAAGTCAGCGAGTTGTTCTTTTGTACTCGATATTTGATTGTTTTAAGTCAATGGTGTCAGAATTGATTTGATTGGCTGATCAGTTTCAATTTTTGACTCTTGATCCCAATCAAATGCCGGGAATAATCACCCAATTATTTAAATATTCAACATAGCAACTTTTTTAAATGTTGCTCCAAAACTATATGATTATTCAAAAACTGTACATAGGAAAATGTATGATTATTCAAATACTGTACCGGGTGATTTTCTATATTTTGCACCCACACCTATCTCGCCTGTTTGAAGAGACACCTAGAAATGTCAAAGGTGAAAGTTGTAGGTAATATCAGAAAGTTTTCAATGATGTTAGTTACAAGAATACAGGGTGTATCGCAAAAGTGTGGCGGAGCAAAGTTATACTTTTTAAATGGAAAACCCTGTATAATATTGTCCCCTTTCAAACCTGATTCCAAATATACTAGGTTTTTTAGGTTTATTCCTTATAGTCCAGGAGAAAATAGGACAAAAAGGGGTGGAATAATTGCATATTTTATTAAAAAAGGTGAAGTATAGAAACCACCAGCAAAATATAAAGGTAATCATTCATATAAAAAATCCATTTTATTTCTTCAAAATGGGATATTTAGAGGCTGCACTATGAGGAATAAACCCAAAAAACCTAGTATATTTGGAATTAGGTTTGAAAGGCTAATCCAATGGGACAATAATATACGGGGTTTTCCATTTAAAAAAGTTTAACTTTGCTTCGCCACACTTTTGTGACACACACTGTATACTTGTAACTAACATAATTGAAGACTTTCTGGCTTTTCTGGATATCTCTTCAAACAAGTGAGATAGGTGTGGGAAACTGTATAATTATTCAAAAACTGTATATAGAATTGAATTCATACTAACATGGAAAGGTTGAGGGAATAGTCAGAAACAGGAAAATACCAGTGGCGTAGACTTGATCGACCTTCAAACGAATAGAGAACCATACGGAAATATACAAAAGTGTATGATTATTCAAAAACTGTACATACCTCTTGATTCCAATCAAATGCCGGGAATAATAACCCAATTAATTTATTACTCTACATAGCTACTAAATCCACCATTTTCTTCTGCATGTTTAACTGATTTATGCCAAAGAAATCCATTAACAAATTATTATAAAACTACAATTGAAATTTCAATTTTTCCTCGGTCTCTTTTCATCGATTTCCGAAAACCCATTAAAGCAAATTCACTTCGTGTTGCCGCCTAAGTAACCAAGAATTGATGTTATTAGGCATTTTTACTTTACCCCGTCGCTACAACTAACCCAGAATTGATTAATTTATTATTCATGGCCAGTGGCTGGTTTTAATTTTTTGTTTTTTTTTTTGGCTTAAGGTAGATTTATGAGACTTTCGTGACTAAACGAAATATTTACAAGAATATTTTTGCAATTAAAAATCAACTACACACTAATAGGGTCCAAATTTTCATCAGCAAAACCCTTGAGGAATATTTTCTTTGAAATTAAGTTTGTTTTTGGAAAGGGAAAGTTAATAAATTCCTAATAAGTTCGCCTTTGTTTTTGCATTCTATTAAAATGTGGGGTACAATTTCGTTTTATTAAATAACTTCTTGGAATAGAGATTCTTCCCGAAACATCCCTTTTTAAACAAAAGTTTCAAAAATAGGATTTTTTTTCTGTTTGAGCAGTAGGAAAGTAAAATCAGAGTGAATTGAACAAGTTTTGTTATAATCCAGAATTTTCTCGAATAATGAAAACAAATAAACCCTCTATTTGAAGTTATTATGCCCTAAAACTCTAAACACGAAAACTATTTTTTTTTTAAATGTCAAGCACACACCCTTAAATAAATTCTGGGAAAAATAAAAAGCCCTCAAGTGCAAATTAATTATATTTAAGTGCCTTTTGTACCTTGTGACTTACATAAATTTTATATTTAATATACCGATTACCATCGACATATTAATACTACATTAAGCTGAAAATTTATTTCGGAAATAAATTAGCAGTTCACAATCGCAACCCCGGGGCCGGCTCTGCGATAATGGAGCTACAAATGATTATTTTATTTGGTAGCCAGTTAATCGATGAATAGTGTTTCTATTAGCCATTCAGGTGACTTGAGAATCTTCTGAAAATTGTCAGTACAAAGTACACAATATAATGAAAATTGCTCTGACCTGTAAATTTATGGATATTAAATATTTCCTCGAAAACATGTTTGCTTTAATTCGCCCTTAAATCTGGGTTAACGTTGTGTTCAAACAAAACCAGATTATATTTCTGGTGAATTATATATTTTGTTTGAAGTTGCTGAACGAATATTTAATGAAATATTTCTTTTTCCTTTGGGGTTTTAGGCTGAATTTCAAAATAGTTGGGGGAAAAATTGTAGTTGATGATGATAAATTTGATTGATTATTCCTGGCATTTAATTGAAATGAAACTGATCAACTGATTAATGAATCAAGTCAATTCTGACTCTATTTTGTAGCTTTCTATTGGCACAAATCAATGAAACATTCACAAAAAAATGATGTGTAGCCTAATCATTTAAGAAAAACAAGAAACCTGGTAAAGGAGTGAGTTTTTCGAGAAAACATCTTTAGAGAAAGCATAATTTTCCAGGCAAAATATTCCAAAAAAGAAAAAAAAAATCTATTCCAGCAGTTCCTCCACTTAACGCACCCAAAGCAGATAGTCCAGCAAATTTTGTTATTATTTGTAGAAGGTTCCTCTAACAAATGTAGAAGAATTTCAATTTGAAAATAGTATTATTTGCAGTATTTGTAAGCAAAAATTCAAATCTTTAGATGAAAAAGTAAGGGATCATGATCATTGTACTGAAAAATACCGAGGTGTAGCACATAATATTTGAAATTTAAACCACAAGCTTCCCAGTTTTATTTTTGTGTTTTTCCACAATCTAACAGGATATGATAGCCATCTATTTATCAAACAACTTTGTTGTGGAAATGATAAAATTGATATTCTTGCACAAACTAAAGAAAAATACATTTCATTCACAAAGTCAATATTGGTTGACAAAATTGAACAAGCTGATAAAACGAAAGGTAAACATGTTTTTATTAGGCTCAGATTTTTAGATTCTTGCCGTTTTGTCGCCAGTTCATTAGAGAGTTTTGGTAATAGCTTAGATAACACTCAATGTGTAGAATTGAGAAGATATTTTCAAGATTCAAATAAGTTTAATGAAATTAGAAAAAAAAGAATTTATCCTTATTCTTATGTAGACTGCTTAGACAAATTAAATGAAACCCAACTTCCAAGTATTAAAATTTATGTTATCAGCTCTGTTGTAATGAATAAAGCATGGTAACTTAATTTGAAGAAGCAAATTATTTTTGTAACTTATTGGTAATTTACCCCATGCATCCAAAAGTTCAAAGGACTTTGCATGTTTCAATAAATAATCCAACGGAATTCTCAATAGTTCATTGCTTGTAAAATCTGAGAGTAATTTTTCATCTTTCATCTGAGCTAGAACATTGTCTATGTCTATAGAGGAACAACAATTCATTTTTGAGTTTTTTCAGTGTTGGTGGTTGTCAATAATTCTACTCATATTTGCAATATAACTTTGATAGAGTTCTTTAACAATAACGGTTTCAAGAGCCTCTACATCTCATGGAGTTTAGAACACTATTCATGAATACAAATGCAGGAATTGTTTAAGTATTCTTTAGTTTTTAAGAAAGTGAAGCGATATGGAAAGAGGTATCTCTTCAGAGTAGAAGCTCTTTAACGTAGTAAGGTGGGTAGAAGGAGTGAGTTTTCCTTAGAAAAACCATAATTTTCCAGCCAAAAAATTCAAACAAAAAAAAAATACCTATCCCAGCAGCTCCTCCACTTAACGCGTCTAATGCAGATAGCCCAGCAAATTAATGGTAGAATTAAAAACCCTGGCATTTGATCCAGATCAAGAGCCGAGAATAATCAAAAATTGAACCTGGATTCAAATAATTATTATGACATTTTTATATTGTAGGACAAAATATCTGGTACGAGAAGAAAGAATCGGCTACAGGGTATTCATGTGGCTGGTAATCAAATCCTTTGCTGCAAAAGATGTTGGAACTTACAATTGTGTTTCAACCAACTCTTTAGGGAGAGCTGAAGGCACCCTGAGACTATATGGTAAGAATTATTTTTATATAATATATTACAAAATCAGTGTTTGAATTTCGATAAAAAAATATTTCAATTTTCATTTGTGAAAAGACTTATAATACAAACCCTGAAAAACCTTAATTAAATTTTATGTTTCAATTCTTATTTCGCTAGCGGTACATCAGCGCCATTGTGTAATTGAAACTCTGATAAACTCTCGAACATAGAGCCCCCGAGATCTGGAGCCCAGAGGCGAGATAAAAAAAAATTAATTTAATTAAACTGAATAAAAAGTTTCTCGTTTTGTGAGCCAGAAATGACAATATAAAGATAAAATTTGTACAGTAACACTTCCCTTTAGTACAAAAAAAAAAGGTGGAATTAAAATTATTCTCCGAGATCTTTTTTATTTTCTTTGAGTACGAGAGCTCTTTGTGGGCTTAAAAACGAATTTAGGTTTTGAGCTCTTCAAAGGTAAAGCCCTTTGTGTATTTGATGCTAAAGCTTCCATTCAATTTTTGCAATTTGTTTCAAGTTGGACAAACGGGTTAATTCGCGTTTAATTTGAAACTAAATTTTAAACCGCAAAATTTTAAGGTAAAGTAGCAAATAATGACGTGCTTTTCGTGTACCTAAAAGTTGAAAATTGTTTCTAGTTTGTGGATTTTAATGAAGCTTTCGTATTCGAATAGATAATTTACTAATTTTAAAAACCTAGAATTTTTATTTCCAACAAAATAAAACTGATTTTATCCGAAAATCGAATAAGTAAAGGATTTCCCATCATCGAAATGAAATCCTCATAAATCCGTTTTAATGACTTTTCAACCTGGCGCAAGAAAACTCATTAGTTTTTGCTGCGAAAACATCGTTATACAGAATCATGACAAAATTGCCAATATTTCTTTTGATTTTTTAAAATAATAAAAGACAAATAAATATATTAAAAACACACAAAACAATGATAAGTCAAGTCACTGGATCGTAGATGGAATTTTCCAAAGTGAACTTCAAAGCGTCAATCATTTTCGTTACGCTTTCCACGCTGCAATCTTTGCTGCCTTTATCTTTTTTCCAAATTAATTTGGGATTTTCGGAAAATATTTTTATCATCGGCTGTTGCCTAGGTATGGGGCCTTCTACAAACTGAACGAATTCCTTCGACAGGAAACTGGATTTATTTATGCTACCTTCCAAACCAGGTTCTTCTATGAAGTCTATGATACCTGATGGTGGACCTAAAGACAATTGTTTAGGTTTTATTTTATGCAATAATTATTTTACCTGATTTTCTTTTTTCAGAAGGTTTATTCAATGAAGGAATCTCTGGGCATTCATCGTGAGTAATTTCGGATAGTTTATCATAAAATTCTTCAACTTGTTCAATGTCCCTTTGAATTGTTCGTAATTTTTGTTTTTTGTTTCGTCGTTGTTTTTTCAGGATTTCTTCTGATGACATTTTGTTTTGACGGACTAATAAAAGAATAAGTAATCTTATTTTCAATCAAAAGAAAAACTTCAATTGCCTGAAATGGACAATGGTCGAGACAAGAAAGGAAATAGAAAAGAAGAATTTTTTTTCTATTCCAGGCTCTTGGCAATAGTTTTTTCATGTAAAAATGTTATCATTGATGATCATTTATCTGAATTGTTTCCAGCTTCATCCAATGAAAGATTTGTTCAATTTTTTTTTTGTTTTTTATTCAATTTTTTGTGTTGTGTCTTTTTTCTTATTTTTATATATTTTTATTTGTTTCTTCTGCTTTAGATTTTTTTGTATAAACTCTGTTTTTTTTTTTATTTCTGTTATTCTTTGAAAATTTTGTCTTGTAATTTTGTCTCATGTTCATCTACTTTGAGTGTCTTTTAAATATTTTAATTAAATTTGATAGATAGAAAGGAGTAATTTAAAGAAAATTAGGTAATTTTGTGTCCATTACAGACTCTTGAATTTTCCTTATTATTTTATAGAATTCTATGAAAATAAATTGAAAAATTTCCTAAAATGACATTGAGATAGTTTTTGCCTCATCTAATTTCTATGTAATTATAGACAATTAAATTCTCTACAAACCTGTCAAAATGTTGATAAAGAAAGTATTAAACACCTGTCAAAAGATGAATGTGGAACCCTATCGAAAATATTTAGAAAAAAAAAAACTCAATTTGAAGCAAATTTTTTCATATTCATAAGCACTCAGAAAAAATTAAAAATCGATAAATAACCCCAAATTGCTTAACACGATTATTTCTGAAACTATAAGCGCTATAAGTCCAAATGAGCTGAAATTTTCGGGGATTGTAATTCCTCTACTGGATTGAGAATCGCTGAAAATTTCAGCTTTCAATCTATAATAGGAATGCATTTTTACCTGCATTCACCGGTTTCCTTAACTATGAAGAATGACATTAATGGCGTTTCCGATTGGAAGATTTAACAGTACTGAGTGGATATCCATCTCTTTTTCACAGCCTGTAGAAGATAGATATACATTTTCTTTGTACTAATTTTCCCAACCGGAAACGCCATAGTTTTCATCATAGTGGGCCATGGATTTATTTATTTTTTATTGGGTTGGCAACCTTGACTTCTTATAATTCAATTAACAAAAAATGTACAGTCGATTGATACATTTTCACCTGTATTAAGCCTTGTACCCATAACAGCGAAATTCGCCCTTTTTTGACATTGCTTCGACAATTTGATGTTTGATTCACGCATAAATACTAGGCCCTAACGGTCAACAATGACACTAATGGCGTTTCCGATTGGAAAATTCAATATGCACTGCATCTCTTTCTCTCAGCCTGTGAAATAAAAGAAACAGATAGAAATACATTTTCTTTCCAGTAAATATCCCAACCGGAAACGCCATAAGTTTCTATTACAGTTACCCTTGCATTTTTTTTTTCTGAGTTGGCAACCCTGACTTTTCACAATTCAGTTGATTAATGTATAATTGATTGATTCATTTTTACCTGCATTTACCGGTTTTCTTAATTTTCAAAAATGACATTATTGACGTTTCCGATTAGAAGATTCAATATGCACTGAGTGTATATTCATCTCTTTTTCTCATCATGTGAAAGAAACAGATAGAGATAAAGTTTTCTTTGTACTGATTTTCCCAACCGCTGACGCCATAAGTTTCCATCATAGTGGGCCATGGATTTTTTTTTATTTTTTATTGGGTTGGCAAACTTGACTTGTAATAATTCAATTAACAAAACATGTACGGTCGATTGATACATTTTTACCTAGTATTAGTTGTATTCCTTTCAAGAGTTTTAAACACTCGAGCTACTCGCTCCAGTGTTTAGTAGCCCCCGATTTGCAGGTAACAGATGCGTGATACGACAAACACTTTTCGAAAGGAATAAGCGCGTGAAGCCCCGGAGCTGTTCCGGAGCTCCTCCTAGGTGTGAAAGGAATACAACTCAAGACCAGTATCCCTAACTTTTAAGAATGACAGTAATGGCGTTTCCGAATGGAAAATTCAATATGCATTGTATCTCTTTTTCTTAGCTTGTGAGAGAAGCAGATAGAAATACATTTTTTTTGCACTAATTCTCCCAACCGGAAACGTCATAAGTTTCCATTCATAGTGGGTCATAAATTTTTTTATATTTTGTTGGGTTGGCAACTCTGACTTTTCACAATTTAGTTGATATAAAATGTATGGTCGATGAATACATTTTTATTCTAGCGGTGTTCGTTTTTGTTATCTTACTCGTCGATTTGCTCCGAAGTTTTGACAGGCACGTGATTTTCAGATTGGAACTGTCTGATTCAGTCATAGAAATACATTTGCTCTGCACTAATTTTCCCAACCGGAAACGTCATAAGTTTCCATCACAGTGGGCCGTGACAACCCTGATTTTTCACAAACCAGTTGACAAATGGACGGTTATTTGATACATTTTCACCAAGAATAATACACACTACTACTATAGGATAGTTTATCCTCATAAGACCTGTGTAGATCAAATCTTAAGCCCCCCACCACACCAAAGAACCCAGTGATGAGGTAGGCAGCTGCCGTTTCTCGCCTTGACTTAGGAAGTTATGATTCCGCGGGTTTTTGCTTTATGCATACTTGGTTTTACTCGAGGGGTCAACACCTGAATGGAAATTTGTACATCTACTGTGAATTGGGCGTTCTAGTTGAGTATTGTTAGAGTATTGTCGAGTATTGTCAGGTATTGTCACTTTATTCTAGGTATTGTATGGTATTGTAGGAATTGTCAAGTATTGTTAACATATTGTGAGTATTTAACTGGACTGTCGGGTACTGTGGATGAAACAACAATACTTAACCTGTATTGTAAAGCAATTTTCAGTACTGTTACTAATGTAGAAGTACTGTCGGTACTGTTTATGTATTTTCAGAACCAATGTTAGTACTGTGAATGTATTAATCTTTGTTATTGTTAAGTGTAAATTGTGTGCAGAAATCACTGCTGATGGTTTACTTTTATTGACATCTCTTGTTTATTAGGTACATATTTTTTGAGCTTTTTGCACTATGCATTGGTAAGATGGCAAGTGTTTGATCGAATGTGATAAAACTAGGGAGTTTCACATGACGGACCCTGTATATAAAATGTTTCCGCTTGTTAACTAAACCTACTGATAACTTATTATATAGGGTGCTGAAATACCATGGGTCACCATTGGTAGGTATATCGGAAACGGTAAGAGATACGAGGGCCGTTGAATTAGAAAAAAGTTGCCATTTCCGAGGGTTATCAAAAATATATTTTCGTTCTTGCCAAATTTCTATTAGTTTCCGAGGGTAATTTAGTGATTTGTGAAAAACACTTAGAACTGTTTTTTTTTTTTTTTTTAATCATCCTCTGTATCTCGGAAACTGATAGAAATTTGGCAACAACGAAAATATATTTTTGATTACTTTCGAAAATGGGAACTTTTTTCTAATTCAACCATCCTCGTATCTCTACCGTTTACGATATACCAATGATGGCCCATGGGTTTTTTGACACCCTGTATATCGTTTATTAATTCCTAAACCCGTTTCACCGAGTGGCGGGTCACTCACCACAATTTGTACATCGACTTCGGAAATCGCAGGGGATTTAGACAATTTTTAAGGGATTTCGAAAGATTTCGGATATTCGAATTTCAACGCCGTACCACTAAGGATTTCTCCTATTATTGGGATTTCAGAAGGATTTCAGTTGGGATTTCGGGATTTCTGAAGGATTTTGGTTGGGATTTCGGATAGAATTTCATTTCCAAAGGATTTCAAAGTGATTTCACTGGATTTCGGATGAAAATGTACAGCGATTTCGGAAGTGCCCCTCGCGTTTCACATATGTGTATTTTTACTTGTATTTCTATTAACCTAAATTTAAATTGTTAACATACACGAGCTAGGAATCCAGCCTTCCTATTGGTTGAAATGCCCTATCAGGACCAGTGCGCATGCACGGAGGACATTTGGTAGGTTGTAATGAAAATCACCAGTTATGTCATTACTGCCGCTTGGATTTGGTTCGACTATAGTATAGTTAAATTATCAGAATAATGGATGCACGTCATCAATGACGTGCAAATTATTGCCAATTGCAGTTTGTAAGAAATTAAAATTCCTTTTCAACTCAGAGCGCATTTTTTCTTCTGTTTAACCCCAGTTAAAAAGAGATAGAATGCTGTTGGATCATCTAACAGAATCTGCCGAAAAACTGGGATTTAGGTTGGTACTCATGAGTAATGTTGCCTTCCGCAAATCTTATTCGGTCATTGATTATAACAATTTGAAGTTTGTTGTCAGTTTTTAACGAGTTGGGGTTGACAGTTGGGATATAATTTAAATATACTTGCTATACAATTGTATTAATGGAAAATGGAATTTCGGTTTTTTGATATTAGGATTCTTGTCAATTTATTTAAAAAAATGTAACCTGGGAAAATGACAAACTTTACTAGACATGGTATGTCAAAGTAAAACTAAGTTGATGCGGCAACATTGCGACATGCCAACGTCATAAATTTTGATGACGTGCATCCATTATTTTATTAATTTCCCTATAACAAACCACAACACCCCCAATTCCAAATTCCATCCAAGCACTTTCTAAAAACAAACCTCGAAACAAACTATAGATAATAAATTTATTTTCTCCTCGATTTTCCCCAAATTCCATTAAAAATATTTTTTAAAAAAAGTGAGGTTAAGAATTAGCAGTTGCGCAGTTAGTAGTAATGAAATACACGATCAAACCACAGCTTAAAATACATCAAAATTGAAGCAAGTTCTGTTTCGACGTTTCGTGGATTGATACACTTGGACAAACTGGGTTTCCATAAAGGTTCTTCGGAATTCAGGACAAAGGAGTCAAGAAATCTGGACAAAATCTGGACTTCGCCAAAAAATTATTTAAATTTTTTATGAAGGATGAAATTATGTCTTTTTTGTCTTTATGAGCAACACTCAAATCAAAATTGTAATGCATACGATACAAGACATCGGAATTGGCTTTTCCTTTTTTAATGGAAGGGAACGCTTTTCTTCCGTTTTGGCATCATTAAAATATACTCAATTTTTTCATTAATATTTATTATTATAACAATAACATTGTGTTGCGCGCAACATAGCGTAAGGCCCACACTAATCATAGTTTAAACGGACTTTGGAATCCTGGGATTCACCGATACCGCTAGTACTGATCGCGCGAATTCCTGATTGAAATCAATCATGAGTCAATATATTTCCATCTCACTCTATGTCATAATCAGTATAGCAAAGAAAGACGATTCCTCGAACTCTAACGAAAATTTGACGTCGGAGTGACACCCGAGTATAGAAATGGGGTACGTTCGAAAATGCTTCTGTCGGTATTGGTATTAACAAAGTTAGGTTGTTTCTACGATCTTCGAGTTTTCCGGACATTGTTCCAACCCAAACATGTCTGGGTAAATCCAGACGCATGGAAACCCTGGACAAACATATAACTGGTACAGGTAATATATAGGTATTTTTTAAATTTGCCTAGTGTGAGTCAAGCCTAACAACAAAAAGTCTCTTCTGAAAAACTTAGGTCAGACAGTTTTTGTCAACGTCAAAGCTGAACAAAAGTAAATGCAACACAATGAACTATAACCAAAAACTGGAATGCTAACACATAAGGACGAATGTGAAGCCTAGTGCGGCTGCTGCGGAGGGGATACCTGTTTTTGTCGCACTCATTATGTTAAATGGCGAAAATTGCTTCCAACACGTATTACAATTGATGAAACCTGTGAAGGGAAATATGACAAAACTTTCGAAAATGTCATATGTCAGCGAGCAACAGAAAAAGAAAACATTCCCCGTTGTGGCATCTGTCTTTCATGGCTTCATTTTTTTGGCAGATATGGCACTGTGTGCGCATTCCAGTTTTGAGTTCTAGTTCATTGATGCAACATGTTTTTATGTTATGATTTTATGATTGGCTTAAATATGACACTGACTTGACTCTTTTTGTCATTGTTGAGGTGATAAAAAAGGTCGATTCACACAATACAACACAATAGGAAAATGCGTACCAGTTTTATGATTGGCCATGTGTACATGTATTTATTTAAGGTCAAATACACGGCTAATATTTCTGTTCGAAATGTATGTATTTCTTTCCGTAGTAACTACATGTAGAAATACACGAAAAATACACGAATATGTAAGACGGGCTCTATTGTATATTATAAATACTTACAGTCGTACATTTTTCGCTATTTTGGGTAAATCAGTATTTTCTGTACAACGGATTTTTTGTCAAATATGACAATCCCTGTCATTGCCGACAGTGTAGCTGGTGAGCTCGTTTTACAATAGGAAAATCGGGTGTCCCATTTTTTGTGCTCACCACTGTACGTTTTCACAAAACTTTCTTTCACTGCAATATGACACTTCACTTATTGAATGAATTTACCCGAGAACGCACCTCTCTGCCACTTGGCCTGTCATGTGGTGCAACGCTTTTAAAAGCTCGTAACCCGATTCACACGTATTCTTTTAGTATTGTCAAGGAATTATCAGTATTTTCGGCGGGTATTGTGAGTACTGTAGAGATACTGTTAAGTATTTTTGACGGATTTTTGGTATTGTTTCAGTATTGTCAATACTGTAGAACTGTTTTGAAAGTATTGTGTAATAATTAATTTTAGGCATTGTGACAATTGCTATGAAAAAACATGGTATTTTTACAGACCCATGATAGTATTGTTTAAGTATTGTAGGTACTGTGAACTAATTTGTACACCTACTGTTAGGACTGTCGACCCCTCGGTTTTACTACAATATTCACATAAAAGTTATGACTTTTCAAAATTTCCCAAAATCTAAATCATGAGGTAGGTATAGGTACAGGGTATTTGATTATATTTGGCACCATACCTACAGCCTTTACTATTTAAGATAGAAAAAAATTGTAAATACAAAACTTGACAGTTTTTTTCTATATTTTCTTTTAACATTATCAGAAAAAACAAAATCGCATCGGAAAATGGACAAACGTAGACAACTTCGACTTTTTCAAATGGAACACCCTGTATATTTTGCGATAAAATGAGAGACCTTTTCTTCCTGATTACAAATATATATATGTTGATCATATTTGCATGAGCCATTTTTGACATATCTCAGCTTAAATTATAACTAAATTGCAAAGAAATTTTATAAAGATAGAGATCCTTATGGAACTTCTCTGCAAATTCTTTATAATTTAACCTGAGATAATATGTGAAAAATGGCTCATGCAAATGTGATCAACATATATATATTTGTAATCAGGAAGAAAAGGTCTTTCATTTTATCATAAAATATACAGGGTGTTCCATTTAAAAAAGTCGAAGTTGTCTACGTTTCTTCCTTTTCCGATGCGATTTTGTTTTTTCTGATAATGTTAAAAGAAAATATAGAAAAAAACTGTCAAGTTTTGTATTTACAATTTTTTTCTATCTTAAATAGTAAAGGCTGTAGGTATGGTGCCAAATATAATCAAATACCCTGTACTTGAACAATAACTTATTATGTAAAGTCAGAATTTGTAAGATTATCCACTTTTTGTCAATTTGGCTTTTAACAGGAATTAGTAATGTTATCTACTTTACTAAACTAGTAACATAATGTAATAAGTTATTCAAGTACAAACGAACAAACGAGTGGATTATTGCGGAACTTATGAGTGAACATCTACTCCCATCTACTCACCAATATACTATTGAACTGTTCAAGTAAGACATTTACCTGAAACATGTAGTTTTTAAACTAATGAGAATAACTCACATTTGAGTGAGTCAGGTTAGTATCATAATTAAACAACATATTGATGAATAGATGGCTGCGGAACTCGCTGCGCTCGTCCCGCAGAGGTCCACCCATAAGTTCCGCAATAATCCACTTATTTGTACTTGAACAATAACTTATTATATTAAGTCAAAATTTATAAGATTATTCGCTTTTTGTCAATTTGCCTTTTATCAAGAATTAGTAATGTTACTTTACCAAACTAATAACATAATGTGACCAGTTATTCATGTACAAACGAGTGGATTGCTGCGGAACTTATAGGTGGACCTCTGCGGGACGAGCGCAGCGAGTTCCGCAGTCATCTATTCACCAATATGTTATTCAAGTACAATACTAACTTGATTCTCTCAGTTCTGAGTTTTTCTCATTAGTTCAAAAACTACATTTAGATAAATATCTTACTTGAACAGTTCAATAGTATATTGGTGAGTAGATGGCTGCGGACCTCCCATAAGTTCCGCAACAATCCACTTATTTGTACTTGAACAAAAACTTATTTAAAGTCAGAATTTGTAAGATTATCCACTTTTTGTCAATTTGCCTTTTAACAGGAATTAGTAATGTTACTTTACCAAACTAGTAACATAATGTAACAAGTTATTCAAGTACAAACGAGTGGATTGTAGCGGAACTTATGAGTGAACATCTGCGGGACGAGCGTAGCGAGTTCCGCAGCCATCTCTTCACCCATAAGTTGTTCAAGTACAATACTAACTTGATTCTCTCACTTGTGAGCTTTTCTCATTAGTTCAAAAACTACATTTAGATGAATGTTTTACTTGAACAGTTCAATAGTATATTGGTGAGTAGATGGCTGCGGAACTCGCTGCGCTCGTCCCGCAGAGGTCCACCCATAAGTTTCGCAATAATCCACTTATTTGTACAGGGTGTCTTTTTATATATTAACACCCCATTTACAGCCTTTACCTTTACAGGTAAAAGAAAGGTGTAAATACCAAAGTTGTACAGTTTTGGTTGAATTTTTAGAAACCATGGTCAGAAACAAAATTTAAATGTCACAAATGTGAAATTTTGCATGCTTTTAACTTTTTTGTAAATGGGATGCCCTATATTTTATTCTATATTCTTAAAGAGCACAATGCTCCAATTCTAAAAATATATAGTAAGTCTATATTTGATTGAGCAGTCTCTCATATACAGAGAACTCATTTATTCGGCTCCAAAAATTGTAAAAATACTATCCTACTACTGATTTTGTGAACCATTCTATACTGTACAGGTGAATGCTGCAGGTAAAATTTGAGGTACCTACTTGGTTTCTCTGATAGTATTTTTAAAATTTTTAGAACCAAATATGCTGGAGACGGCTCAACCAAATATAGACAAACTATATTACAATTAAATTCTCTACAAATCTATCAATTGAGATTTCAATTTAGTGTTAGCAATTTCGTACTTGAGAAGCTTTAAAAATTGAATTTATCAAACATTGAAAATTTTCCAAAAATGACTGAAACAGTTTTTGCCTCGCAGCTCAGTTAATTTTCATCAGATTTCAATGTAATTACGATTTTATTAAAGCCAATTAAATTCTCTATAAACCTGTTATTGAAGATTTTAGGAAGAAACTTTCTGGAATCTGGAAATAATTCAGTTGAATTTCATTGTAAAAAGGCATACAAAAAAGAATCAGAAGAAGACGATGTAAACAGTAACATTTTTTAACGAAATATGTACCAATAAATACAGGAAAATCAATAAAATAAGACAAACAAATCTCGAAGGAGACATAAAAAAAAAGAAACATAAATATTCATAAACTTACTTTCCAACATTTCATCAAACCCTTCACCAACAAATTCCTCATAAGATGTTTGATTTTTGCTGATTTTCCTTTGAATATCATTACTGGACGATTTCAATTTGAAAATATTTTCCAAATGCCTGTCAATTTGTCTAACAGTATCTTCGAACTTTGGCAATTTTGAAATTCCTTCTTGTATTTTAGGAACAACTACTGCAACTGGATTTTCGTATATCAGTTCAGTGTCTCCATATTGGGTGAAGCAATCGTTGACATTTTTATAAGTTATTTTCGGTTTTTTTAGATATGTTTCTTGCATTTTTTCTAGTTTCTTATTTATATTTGCTAGGACGTTTATTATTTTGCCATCGTTATAAGGCTTTTTCTTTTTCACTTGCGAAATTATTGTTTTTGGTTTAACAACTTTATTTAATGATATTTCACTTTTAGCATTATTTATTATTATTGTTTCTTTTTTAGGTTCAACAACAGATTTTGAATTTGTATTTTTTACAACTGGTTTGCGAATTTCCGTACTACTAGTTTTTGGTTTAATTTTATTTTGATATATTTTATGTACAGCCCTGTCGCCTCCAAAATGATACTGCAAAAATAGGTAAAACTAGAAACTCATCGAAACTACGAAGCCTTTAAGGTATACGCGAAAGGAGTTTCTTGGGGGGAAACTTTAGATGAAGTTTGCGTTTGTTATATAAAGAGGAAAGTTTTATTTTTCAATTGCCTGCCGGCAACTTATTATATACTTACTGGGAGTTCAATGTTTATTGTTTCAACTGCTAGTTTTTTCTTGTAGAAGCTTGCCGATTGGGCATTATTTTTATTTGAAGGGGATTTGCTTCTAGCATAAGTTGCACTAATTTGTTCGTTGTTCTTTTCCAGATCTTTGAACCGCAACTTTTTCACTTGGACCATATCTTTTAATGCGTTTTCTTTTGAAATGGCGCATTTCTTCATTATTTTTCGTTTAGTGGGGAGCTTTTTTTAAATATTGGCAATGACATTCTGACACTGGAATTTTATGTTTGACAGCTATCGTCAAGTTAAGTACAGAAAGAATTTTTTTTCATTTTTCAGAAATCAAGCTCAATCCAGTCAACACTTTTAACAACAGGGCAGAATTGATTGCAGGTAAAGAAAAATCTTCAAATTGTGATCATTATGATTATCTTTGAAAAAATTGTTCATCAAATCAAGAGCCTATAATATTTATTGATTGCTGAATTATTTTTCCAATAGTATTTTTCTTTCAGGATTAACTGAACCAGCTCGAGGACCCAGATCAAAAGAAGTACTGACATCTTCAACTGCACCCCAAATGATTAAACCCATGTTTTGGTGCTGGCTGATGTATTTTATAGGCAAAATAGGCCTGAGATGATTTTTCAGGCTCTCGTAAAATAATTATTGTAAAAACATCATAATCATTAGAAAAAACATATCACTGTTTCAAAATCCAAAAAATATCCCACACTATTTGTCCTGTATAGATAGATATTCTAGAAAAATGTAACAATAATTGGATTTTTCTATATTATTCTACAAAAGCATATGTCCATTACTTGTCATAGAAATTTTACAGCACACATCCAGGAGCCTTTCTAAAACAGACAACAAAAGCGTCGGAACTTGGCATAAAGTTTCTTTTTCCGAGACAGTGAAAATTGCTATTTCTCCGAGCCTCGCGGCCCTTTATTTCGCAGCTCTCGAACTTTTTTGTTTTCGAAGGAAAAATGATCTTGTATCTTGAATTTCAAGTGATTTGAAACTTTTTTAGTATACAATATTTGAATTATTGTAAAAATGTCTCTTTGTTGTTAGTAAAATAATAGAATATTATGGTGCCAATTTATTGCTTTTTGTAAATACTTTTATCCTCAATGTATACCTACTTAGATTACAAATTGTACATATAAGCTTGTAAATCAAAAATAAAGCCTGTTTCCCTGTTATCGTGTTATCCTCTTTATTTTAATAATGTATTCTTCATTCTTTTAGCAAATATTGCATATTGGATCATAAAAATATACTGTAATTTTGTGCTGTGCTGTGTAATATAAAATAGCTACATATACATATTTGGAAAAGTTTATTTGTTTGCTTTGTTTGCAGTTCGACCTTAGTTGAATAATGGTATATATGCATTTCAATCAATTTAAAGAAGAACTTCTGTGTGGAAATTTAATGGAGATTTTGATATGGAGCTATATTGATATTGAATTTGACCGGTTATTTTGAATTACTTTTCGATATTTAATAGGAAACTTGATTCAATTTTTTTTATTGCTGATTTCATTAGTCTATGAAAAATAAGTCAACCCATGTTTTTTATTTTTCTTGTTAGACAAAAATTGACGCAAATACAACGCTTTGAGATGTGCTTATTTTTCATACTCTATGACGTCACACATGCTCAATATATCTATATATACAGTTACATACAGGACTTAATCTTTCCTTGGGTTCGGTATTTTGCTCAAAGAGCAGAGCGTGCAGAGCGGAGCCGCAATCACGTGATCAGCGAGCGCACAGAGCAGTTAAACGCTGTATCAGAGGGCTCGACATTTTAATTAATGAACGCAAATGAGCCTGCACCGAGCACACTTTTTAAATAAACTAATGGTAAATTCGTGTTCGGAGAACTCAGATCAAATTACCGAACGCACGGCACGAGAAAATGGTTGGATTTTATTTCGAAACGGTTTGAACCAATTTTGACGTGACGTCATGAATTTATCGCGAGAATATATTGTATCAAAACAGTTTTGAACCAGTTTCGAAAAAGTGGACGCGAGAAAACGCCTCAATTTCGTACAGTTTGCAATAAACAATAATTAATTTAATTTTTCAATAAAGTTCCATATTCACAGGTAGCATACTGGAAACGTTTTTTTAGAATATTCAATAGATGGCACCACATTCAATATCAATATAGATTTGATACGCCATTTTGTCAAGATCAATTTGAATTGTTGACAATATCCAAATTTTGGTCAATAAAAAAGGGATAAGCACATAAAGCAGCCCACCCAAAGTTCCTAAAGTTATTAGGTTGTGTGGCAATGGGTACATGATGACGGATCTGGGGTGCCTGGTGGTATGGAGTTTTGCATTATGTTGAGGCATACTGATGACGTCATAAAAGTTATCAGACAACCTCCTTCTTTTAAACAACCTTGCAGCACACCAACAATAAATCCAAAATTTCGGATCATAAAATGCTGAAATAAATGAAAACAACAGATTTTCCGAAAATTTTTAATGTTTTTATTCCAATTAATCAAAACCTGCCCGTACACGTGGTAGAAGTGAAAATTCTTAAAAACCATCCCCCTACAACTTTAGACTAATGGCCTGTTTACATTTTGTTAACTGCAATTATGTTTAGTGTTGAGGACCGATTTATCAGTGGACTAGCAGTATTAAACTGGAACAAAATTTGATTAATGGCCGGTTTACATTGGACGCTTTCTCTTATTCAGCAATGGATCCATCGATGACCAGTCTATCTTTGTCTAGTTCATAGAAAATCGGGATGGCTGGCAGCAAATGGATCCATCACTGAATAAAAAAAGCGACCATTTTATTAAGGCCGCGTTAATGGCCGCCATGTTTAAATTTAGTTTTTGAAAATGACGACTGCGTCACTCTACACATAGGGGTTCAATATTTTATTATTTCTCTAAAACAAAATCTGTTTGTCGGTGAAACACTTAGTGACAGAGAAAGACAAATATACAACTATGATGCTCCTAATGTAGCTTTTTTGCCGTGGCGCCATCTACTTGAAATTGCTTGAACTGTTTTCACCTTCAAAATTCGTTTTAAGGTCATCTCAAAAAATCCGCAATAATTTCCAAAATCCTGTGGCATAAACATTATTTGATATATTATCTAAAATCTCTACAATTAGCTTTTTTTAGTTTTTCGTGGTTATCAATAAAATATGCTTTTCACGGATCCAAGCTTGATAAACATGCAAATATGCAACCACCAACACATTTAATTGTTTTGGTGGTTGCAAACATGATTTTTGAATTTAAAAAAAAAAGCTGAATACCGAAAAACCAAAATAAGGAATTGTAGATAATCGATCAAATAATGTTTATGCCAAATTTGAGCCAATTCTGATGTGCCGTTTTTTTAAAGACCTTAAACCAAGCTTCGAAAAATCAACCAATCCCAGTTTAAACATAGCGGCCATTAACGCGGCCTTAAGTGCAAGTGTTTAATGTCAAATGTTAATTTGTGTTAAACATACAAATAAACACGATTTGATTGAGGGTCGGTTTAAATTTTGTTTACTGCAAGTATTTAGTGTCAAATGTTAATTTAACATGTTGAGTGTAATTAAACTAGTTTTCTGACTTTTTTCAACCAATGAAATTTGCTCTGACCTCTGACTGGTTTGTGATTTTTGTGCGAACAGACCTTAGCACTACAGTGGCACTACATACCTGCACTTGCTACTAATCAAAGTATAAACCGGCCTTTAGTTCAAAAACGAAATTCAATATGGAAATTCAGGTCAGGAATGTTTTTGCGGCCATATTGGAATAGATTGCCTAATTGAAGTACCTATACCAAATGATTATTCCCAACTGTTGCTTTAAAATTCAATTTTCAAAGATTCCCAGCTCTTAGTAAGCTCAATTTGGCTTTTTGAAATTTAATGTTCCGGTTCTTGATTGGTTTTAAAATTCAATTTTTTAAATTTTCTCGCCTTTTGATTGGCTCAAAAATTCAATATTTATAAATTCCCGGTTCTTGATTTGCTTTGAAATTTAATTTTTTAATATTCCCGGTTGTTGATTGGCTTAATTTGATGTTTTAAAATTCAATATTCGAATATTTCCGATTCTCAATTGGCTTCAAAAATTCAATTTTTTAATTTTCTCGCCTTTTGATTGGCTTAAAAATTCAATATTTGTAAATTCCCGGCTCTTGATTATGATTGTAAATTTCAATTTTTAAATATTCCCGGTTCTTGATTGGCTTGATTTGACGTTTTAAAATTCAATGTTCGAATACTTCCGTGTTCTCAATTGGCTTAAAAATTCAATTTTTTCAATTTTACCTGCTTTTGATTGGCTTGAGAATTCAATATTTGTAAATTCCCCGGCTTTAATTTCCTTTAAAATTAAATTTTCAAATATTCCCGGCTCTTCATTGGCTCAATTTGACATTTTAAAATTCAATGTTCGAATATTTTTGGTAATTGATTGGTTTTAAAATTTAATTTTTTAAGTTATCCCGGTTTTTGATTGGCTTAAAAATTCAATTTCTGGAAATTCTCGGCTCCCGATTGGCTGTAAGTTTTAATTTTCAAATATTTCCAGCTCTTGATTGGCTTGATTTAACGTTTCAAAATTCAACGATTGAATATTCCCAGTTATTGATTGGCTTTAAAATTAATTTTTAAACCTAATCAAGCGTTGAGAAAATTCGAAAAATTGACTTTGTAAGCCAATCAAAAGCCGGGAAAATTCAAAATTTGAAGCCAATCAAGAGCCGAGAAAATTAAAAAATTCAATCTTTTAAGCCAATTGAGAGCCGAGAAAATTTAAAAATTCAATTTCTAATAGCGATTTCCATTTGTCGGACCAGTGCAAAAAAAAATTATCCTTATCCTTACATGTTACATGCTTTAAGGAAAAGATGCGGATACACTCATGGCGATTTCCATTTGTCAATCAGTGCGCACTGAGTGTATCCGCATCTTTTTCTAAAAGCATGCGACATGTAAGGATATGGATACATTTTTATTGCACTGGTTCGACAAATGGAAATCGCTATCAGTGCGCATTGACTGACAAATGGAAATCATAAGTCAATCAAGTTTATCGAGCACCTGTTTAAGAGATCTGGGCTGGGACTCTGTAACGTATAGAGTAGATCGTTATCCCCGTTACTATGGCACTTGTTGCTATCTTCTTCTCTCTTCTAGAAATAAATAGAGAGGGGACGTCAATAGAGTCCCAGCTCTGTTAAAAGAATAGTTAATTCCGGTTGACACAGTTCAAGTGCACCTAAGGCCGGTTTACATTTTGTCAACTGCAAATGTTTAGTGTCAAATGTTAGTAGTGTTACTAAACAGAAAAATAGAACACTTACTTGCACTTACGACTTAATAATTGATAGATCCATTTACAATGCGACAACTGAACACTAGCACTACACACCTGCATTTGCTACTAATTAAAGTGTGAACCGGTCTTTACTTGCAGGGCAACAAACATCCAGTTCTCCAAAATATTGTAAAGGGTGCGAGTATGGTGCGAGTGAACTTGGAGTGCTTTCAATTATAGCGATTAATGTCAAACCGTTTAAATGAGTGAAAGATGACTGAATGAAGATAAACAATGGACAGTGAATATAGTTAAAATATCTTCCAAAACGTTCAGTAGCCCTTCGAGAATATTTTTAAAAGTTTCAGCGTCAGCTTTTCTTGGAACCACACGTCAAACTTAACTTTTGAGGTCAAAATTACAATCGATTATTCACGCACCAAAATTCAAAGAGCTTCAAGTACAGTAGCGCGTAGTGACTCAACTGTCAATATTACATGTCATTGGACAACTATCACACACTACTACAACACTACACACCTGCACTTGCTGCTAGATAAAATGTGAACCGGCCTTTAGTGTATAAGTCGAGGTAAGGTAGGTACGGTCATACACCAATGAAACATCAAACATGCAACATGCAACGTACGATATAAAGTAAAATACCGCAGATAGACTTGTGCTGCATATATCCATATTGTAAAAACGTACAATGTCTCGGGGTCATCGCACACCGATGCAGCAAACGCGTGTACTGCACCGACCTCTGGGTTATGTGATGTGTCAATTGTGTTATACTCTCATAACTCCCTCTTCATCAAATTCTGGGTCTGCGAGTGACGTCATTATCAGCAGTTTATAGTGAGTGCGTCACCCGCAGACCTCGATGGAATGCTTGTGATCCAGGCTGTGCTAGTGAACTATTTAGGAAAGGTGATTTTCGGTCTGTTCTCACAGAAGAAATTGAGTATTTTTGAGTATCCTAGAATTTGATGGTGGGGGAGTTGAGGAGTATGACACAATTAGGCATTCCAACGACCTGTCAGAAAGTGCGTTGTGGC